AAATTTTAAATTTAAAGACAATTGTAAATGGGGAAACATTTAGCAGAATGTAAAAACTTTTTGAAAAATCTCAGCTTCGTTCTTAAAACTTTTCGACTGATCAACTGAGGTGAGAGAACAAAATAGCGTGTGGCAATTTCTGGCATAAATTTTGCATGTCATGAAATTTATTCGATATTTTCGATAATTTCTACAATATTCTTTATTTCAGTTTTTTTTTTTTCATGCACAGTTATTTGTTTTCTGTGTTTGTAAAAATTAAAACATTTAATTATAATTTGGTATTTTGTTTTATGGAATAAAGCGTGAGCTCTTGTTAATATTTAGTAGCTAATATTTAATCAAAATTTTATTTAGGTTGATAAATTACAATTTAATATATATTGTCAAAAACTCAGATTATGTTGCATAATATGAAATTTTTATAAATTCTTAAAATCTGTAAATTTTAAGTTTTTAGTACTGCATTCAAATATATTTTTTGCACATGGATCATATGCATAATTACAATATATAACTTGAAGTTGGAATATTTCAAGTTGTTTGTTTTCTATATACAAATACGTTGTTGTTATCCATTTAACATTTCATCAGTAATTTCTTATCACATTAAATATTGCATTGGTCCCTAGGAAACCAATCTTAAACCAAGCAAAATAGATTGCTGTTTAATATATTAGATATTGTGAAAACATAACATTAGTTTTAAACCATTGTAAAACAATAAATGAATGTTAATTATGTAATTAAATGCACATAAGCCATTTTTGACTGTTATATAAACAATGGTATAATAAATTGAATGATGTTTTATTAAATTCTGCTTGGAAAATAACAATTATAAACAGAGTCTTTTTATATAGATATTCTGCTACTAGGCATAATTATTAAAAATGAAAAACAAGTGCAGTTTCTAAATCAGTTTTAACATGAAGAAAAAACAATGATGATACATCATGTAATGGTAACTTCATCTGAAGATTCTAGAGCAGAGTAAACTGAGAAACCTTTCTATAAAATGAATACAAAATTTTTATAAGAAAAATTATTACCATCTTTGAAAATTAGTATTCATTTTCAGGTCGAGTGGTAAGACTAAAGTGCACTGGTAGTTTGAATGCTGGTAGACAGGCTAGCTGCATAGGTCATTTCTTGTGTGTCACATGAAACAGAAGTCATTTTCTTGTAATATACTTTCATGAAAATCTTCTTCCGCTCAAGAAGATACTGTTTTTCATGATTTTGCAAAAATCAGTTACTTACGCAAATAAGAAAACATTCTCATTTACTACCATTGGTATAGAACTCGGGGGAGGGGGGAATTCTACGATCTCTTATCAACAGAAATATTTTTAATGCATGTTCTGGTTTAAGAGGACAAAAAATTTATTTTATCAAAAAACAACAAATTTAGTTTTTCTTATTTACACATTTATACTGGAAAACTATAGAATTATGAAAATTCACCACATTTCCACAATCAGAAATGATAGCAAATTATAGGAACATAGGACAGTAGATGTGTAGGCTATAGTAAAAAATTTCTTGCTGTTAAAATACAAAAAAAATTAGAGTCATCTCCAATGGTGGTAGGTGTTATTGGAATATTTTATTTATACAGAAAAAGAAAATGCATGGGATTTCAAAAAATTTGTTTAGAATTTATGCTCGGGATTACTATATGACATCCGAAATCATAACCATTTACAGCAATCATAAGTAAATGAATTAAAATTGCAGATTAAATATTCTGTGATTTCCAAATATGTATAATTACAAACTCTGAAGACTACTTAAGGTGATAAATTAAGGCATATTATTCAGAAAAGTCCTGACAATAAAAGAAAATAATGTACATACCAACACATATAGTGTAAAATTATCCACGGATTTATCATGAATAAAACTTACTTGAATGTGCTAATGCTGCATTTTTGCAAGACATAAAAAATTACATCTTTATATAACACAATGAAATGAAACAGAATTTTTTAGATACAGAATAATGCATAATCTATTATTTTTTTTCTTTTGGGAATTACTGGGTCAGCTGAAATTTTATGAGCTATTCCACACCCTTTCAATATGTAGATTGTCTGAATAATCACTCCATTTTATATATTTCAGTAGGCGTTAATATAGTTTTTCTTACAGAAAAATACACAAAAGAGAGATTTCTAAGATCAGGTTGTTTAAAAAAAAACATATTTCTTAAATATTTCTTTATCGAATTTTATTATGTACATACATACATGAAATAATAAGAAACCTAAATATCACCAAACATTTTCAAATACACAAAGAGCCAAGAAATTTTACAATACAGTAATGTTTATCAATTATTACTTTATTTAAAAGGGTATTAGAAAATCGAAAAGTTATTCGGTATCGGGATAGCAAGTTGAGTAGAATTAACAGTTGTATTTGTTTTAGAAATTGAAATTTAAATTAATCCCAATAAAGGCACAGCTTTAGTATTAGTCCTTTTTGGCGAGAAATTTGTTTGGCGACATTTTGGAGCGATAAATGAAAAATTATGATAACCTTGGTAACCCTAAATACTGAGCTTCAAACATGCCGCCATTTCTGTCCACGTAACTTAAACGAATTTGATAGGTATCAGAGCTTTGATGGCAGGAGGGATAAATTGTGTGTTTTTCTTAAAGTTACTTTTGTTTTAGGAAAGCACAACATTTAAAATATTTTTTAAAAAGCCAAATTTTTGATAGTTAAAACTGGTGCTTTTAATATTACATCACATGAGTCTTGGCATTTTTTCATATGTCAACTCTGCATATTATTATAAACACCACCCCCCTCCAAGGGAAACTCCTCTTGGTGTTTCCTTTGCTAAGGAGATCAAAATTACCATGGTCTAAAAATACTTATTTACCTCATATTAGAACTATAGGGATGTGTAATTGCATGAATTCATAGGTTCAAATCAGGACCAAAATCAGGTTTCATTATTGCTTTTATAACATTTTCATAATTTTTCTGACTATAAAAAATATAATGTTGCTTAGATTATGGAATATATTGCTTATAATTTAGAGTTCTCAAATTTTGTAAATCTTACAACCTAACAGACTTTTATTCTATTATACAGTTTAGATGTACAGAACAGAAGGCACACTTTGTGCTTATGACTCAGTCAACCACTTGTGACAAGATAACTTATGATAACAATTAAGTTCAAATGTAAAATTTAAATTCAAATAAATTTGTAGCCCAAAGGCTGCATAAATCAATTTAATGCAAAGTTGGTTAAAAACTTAACTGGCATGGAATTCAACTATCAGCAATTATAATGCAAGGCTGAAGACTACAAATCTTTTCTTATCTAGCAACCTATTAATGTGGCCTCAAAAGGCAAAACACGGTTTGTTTTACAAAATAAAAACTTCATTTGGATTCTGGTGAGAAAACGGATGGAGGAAATTGACAGTAAAGATCCCAAGCATAAAATAACTCTGGTTACAAAATAAAGGAACGTTACAATATACTTTGTTCCCTGATTAATTACTCAGTACATGAAATAGTGTAATGCATTTTTGTTTGCATCACATACAAATTATTTAGTTTATTTAAGTGCTTTCCAAAACTGACAGGATTTTGCAAACATATTGACCATATTTTTCGACCTATAGATGCAACACTTCTTCTCTTCAGAAGTAAGATTTAGAATTAAGAAATAAGAAAATAAGAGAGAATTATGAATAGAAAATAAATACATATGCTGGCTAGCAGAAGAAGGATGCCTTCATAAAGTACTTTTTAAGAGAAACTGGCTCAGATTCACATTACATCTACGGAAAACTACTAAAACTCCCATATAGCCAGCTTGAACTACCACTGTTCAGTGGCTATCACTCCACCACTAGTGGATTCCAATGACTGTTCGAATTTTTCACAGAAATCATCATTTACGATGATTGTTGTATTATTACCATTGGTACAAAATTTACTCATTATGATAATTTAATTTTAGCTTTTAAATTATAATCAAAATTACTTGTAATAAATTGAGGGATTAAAAAAACACACTTCTTAATATTTTACCATTTACAATATTTAATCATAAAAAATATTTCTAACACTGGTACAAAACTTGCCCATTATAACTGAATTTGATTTCCTTCACTTTGAAATATTTTTTTATTTTCTTTTAATAACAGAATCTAAGAAACTAAAGTAACATATACTAGTTTGAAATGCATTTATTAACCTTTTGTAAATTTCATTATTCATTAACATAAAATTAACCTTTTGTAAATTTAAAATATTAGCTAAGTACTAATATAATAAAATATAAATATGAACTAACTACTTAAAATATTAATGTTTAATACATTATATTTTGTAATTAAAAATATTAACATTTTTGTAAATTTCATTACTCATAACATAATAATTGTCATAAATTCATTTACAGTAGTGTTTCAAGAATTTATCATAGAAGTACTAGAAATACTGAAAATTAGAGAAAGACTGTTTATTCGTCTGATTAAGATATTTTTAGGATTGTTATTTAGTCTAGATCGGGTTTTGTTGACAATCCGCCATTTTTTTCCGATCTTCAAAACCGGGTCTACATTGGCGACCGAAGTTTGTCGCCAAATAAAAAAATCGCCAAAAGGACCAATACTAAAGCTGTTCCCCAATAAATATTGTACATTACTTATCGCCTCTACAGTAAATTAAATATTAAATCACATCAGCTTCCTCAAAATAATAAGCGAAACAAATGATCTATCTACTAGTTACTACCAAAGAAGAACGAACAAGTTACCATAACATTAACAAGCACTTTCTGGTATACCAGTTTTGCACTAAAATTGCGTTTGGCGAAAGAGAAATGATGCCAAAAGTTCCTGGCGCAACGGTCCTCTCTGATTGGTTAAATTTCTTCAGTTCCCAGCGGATTTTAGCCGCCCGTCTCATAGAAACAGTTCATATTGCGCATGCGCGCTTTTCTGGCCGTAGTCGTTTGCTGATTTTAAATACATCGTGGCCGCTGTACGTTCTTTGGCGCTACATCTAAAATTGTGAATTTAGATTTAAGTCAAAGAATATGTATTGTATGTCAAAGAATAAGAATTGTATAGGCTTTCTTTGTTTAAGTGTCAAAGCGGGTCTTGAATTTTCCTGATTAGGTGTTTACTAACTTTTTATGTGATACGTAAATTTCAAGACCTTTAAATTAAGGTATGCTTGCGCAACGAATATTTAGATAGTTGTCTAAATTATAAACTGAAGAAATTCACGTATTGAAAATGTGAAATTGTATTTGTGTCATAAATTTATTTGTAAACTTAACTTATGCTGTAAGCTTTCTATTGCTGATAACGTATGAATATATTACTCTCAAATTTTATTTAATGTTGGAACTTTTTCTTAAGTAGGTTTTATATAAAGCAATATGATAATTTTTTTAAAATTTGTAAATGTCATGCATTTCAGTTTTTCCAATGAAGCAAAATTGTCTTTAAAACTGAATACATTGAAAAAAAAAAAAACAGAGAGTTAAATTACTGGGTTTCATTCACAAATTATTTTTAAGTATTCAGTTGAGAAATTAAATTTGTGCTAATAAATTTAATTTCATTAATTAAAATCGTATACTTGCTATTACAGAAGTGTTTCAAATGATAAAAATATTCATACTTTGGCAGTGTCAAATTTAAAAAAATTAATTTTCAGCAAATGGTGAAATCTAACTTGCTTGGTTCCTATACTTATATTTGGGAAAATTTTATACTTATTATGAAAAAATAAAATTTTAAAAGTTTGATTCTGGTACAACAAATATTGACTGGGATTTATAATTTCAAAATTTGTAATTTTTGATGTCATTTTGAACTTGCCTTGAGGATTGGTTAAGTTAGAATAATTCGGGGAAATAAACTTAAATGAAGTGCAGCAAAAAATGTGTGTAGTTTAATACGTCATACAAGGAAGTCATATGGTATCCACGTCAGACTTTTCATAATTGGGGGAATAAAATTAAATGACCTGCATACACATAAAAATGTTTGGTTGGATCCTAGCAGAGCCCACACCCTTGGCGCTTCCACTTATATGGTGCATATCAATGTGTACATGAACAAAGTCAAGGGAGTGTGCAATGCCAAGTTTGTGCAATTTTGAGATGTTTTTTTAAGTGAAAACAGGCTGATGTGTACATGGATACCGAGTTTGTGCAATTTTTTTACTTGTTATTTTCAAGTTGGCGGTTTTGAGAAACGAGTGAAGCAGTGGGTGATTCTGCACTTTCCCAGTTTGTTGGCAAGGGTGTGGGCTCTCCTAGGATTTTAACAAATGTTTGATAAATTATGCCATAATGTAATAAAGTGACATTGAATTGAAGTAATAAAGAGAACTGAATACATTGAAACATGTCTGAATGCTTCAATGTATTCAATGTTCAACTTAAAAGTATTTAAGAAGACAGGAAGTGAAAGTAATAAAGAGAATGATTATGCCATTCCACTAAGTAATAATGTGGAAAAGTTTCCAAATGTGGGAAAATCATTCATTTTATATTTAAAATTGCAAAGGTTTTAGATTATAATAAAATTAAAAAAATTATACTGATAATATTCAATTATTATTTTGAGCATGTCAGTTTATGTCACTTATGTGTATATCATTTTAAAGCTAACACTTCAAATTAATTGGAATCTTTGTATGCCAAATATAATGTAAAACTGACTCTATTGTATTATTGAATATTAGCTACATTTTCCCTAGATAGTTTAAATTTGAATTTAATACTTAATTGTAACAGCAAGGCTTTATAAGAGATTTTATTGAATAAATAATCTGTAGAATTAAAATTCAGTCACTTTTTAAGGTCATTTGCATAATAAATCACATTTTATTTCAATAATATAATAATTACACTGTAATAACTTTTCTAGCTGAAGATTTAGCATCATCTGATAACCTATTGCACTTGACATTCATCCTTTTCAGAGTATTTTTAATTAATTCTTAAGTACTAATTTTTTGTGATGTAATATTTTATTTATTATTTTAGATGAATTTAAATTACTCAGAAAATATGCTCTTTTATTTAAAATATAATTTTGTATTTTGAAGAGCCAAGCAAACATCGTTTTAATTATTGAAAAAAGTTCAGAAATTCTTCAATAAATTTCTTTTAGAGTTGAGGTTCATAATCTAGGTGTATGCTTTGTTTCTCACATCATGTTCTACTTATCAAAATTTCAGTCCTAAATTAATCACTAAGCATTCGCCTCTTTTTTGCAAAACTTTTAATTTTATATAATATCATACTGTACAAAGCAAAAAGTATTTAAAAACACATTTTACTTTGCATGATATGATAAAATTCATTCAGTAGTGCATTTTCTCACTGACAAGAATATCCAATGGTGAGTATAAAAGTTCTAATATAGACTCTCACTTACAGTTAAATATTTAACATTAAAAAAAAAAAAAAAAAAAAAAAAAAAAAGTACAAATAATTTAGCATTAAAAATGTTTTAAAAAACACACTATGCCAATTAAATGAGTAAATTTAATTATGTGGTGCAATTAATGCCAGAAGCGGTTAGAGTAGACTGAAGGGTACCCCTTGTATCATCCTGAAGTTGTTGTTTCATTTATCGCCAAGTCAAGGGAGTATGCAGTGCCAAGTTTGTACAATTCTCTGATTTTTTTTAAAGTGAAAATAGGTCGATGTGTACATGTATAAAGTCAAGGGAATGCAAATGCCTAGTTTGTGCAATTCTGTGATTTTTTTTTTTTTAAATAGGACAATGTGTACATGGATACCGAGTTTGTGCAATTGTTTGACTTGTTTTTTGTCTTTGTGGCTACACAAAGCCAAAACAACAAGTCAAAGAACTCCACAAACTTGGTATCCATATACTGCCAATTTTTGCCAAGGGGTACCTGTAAATATACTTTAGCCTAGAAGCTACCACATATTATTTTCTTCTTCTTCCGCATCAGTATATCTCCTAAAAGATTTTAGTGCTGTGCAATGATTTTTTGAAAAAATATTGTCTTGAAAGTTTCCTTTGAAAAAATATTGTCTTGAAAGTTTCCCATTTAAGGAGCTAAGATCCTGTTTGTTGAATTGAAAACTCTTTCATCTCCAGCACATTACTATAAATCTTAATTCTGTGGAATAAAATTTAAGTTTCTGATTTTTAGGAAGACTAACGTAAGTTAACAAATGATTGATATATTGGACATGATGTGTTTTTCTTAAAATAAGTAAGCAAGCAAACAAAAGGAACAAACGATTCTTGAGGATAAATAAGGGTTCATATAAACCCTTAAGCTCACCCCTGGGGATATTAGTGTTTGTTTTATCGTTCTAGATTATGCAAGCATGGATGGGAATACAGTCAAAAGTCGTTAATTTGGACACCCATAATCCGGACCTCAAAGCTACAAACTTTCTGCGCATGTGTAGCGTTGATGCATGCGCAGAAGACCTTTACGTCTGCAAATATGTGTGTGCGCAAAATACGTTTATAAATGCGCGTTTAATGTATAACGGACGGTATAAGCTAAGCTAAAATTATCTAATTCAGTTAAAGTTGCAGATTGCGTTGTTCCTTAATCTCCGAATTGGATTCGGCTTATTATTTTTTGCAGACTGTTAGAGCAATTTTATAAAAGTAAGCTTGAACTTTCGATTATGTCAAATAGAATTTTTGATATATATTTACTAATATGTAAAGGATGTACAACACGAAAGTATGTTTCGAAGTCCATTAAAGAAAAAGTGGAATTGCTGCAAAAAATGGATAAAGGCATATCCTTTGTTTATCTAAACTTTAACGTTTGTTTATCTTTAACGCTGCGGCGCACATTGAATTGGAAGTTGATTTGTCAGCACTATCCTTATCTTCAGAGCAGATGTTTTTATTTTATTTGGCTTATAATTCCTTACTAAATGTAGTATTTCATCTCGGTGTACTCCGTCTTTGATATGATTTAAATCAAATTCCTTGTCATTATAATTTGCTTCTGATAGCGAAGAAAGTGACAGAGGTTATTGAAAACGAAAAAATTTCATTGACAAATTAGTCAGTATTCTCGACACAGCAATTATAAGACTTGAACAGCGGAACTTTGTAACTGAACAAGAAATTATGTCTGTTTATAGAATTAAAGAGAATGTATTATCACATAAAAAATGAAGCAACTTAAACAACTTACATTGAAAGAAATGTTTAATAAAGTAAACAAATAAATATTAAGCTTTTTTTTTTTTTTTTTTTTTTTTTTGTAAATTTTGATACCCTTTAGATCATAATTGTTCTTTATTTCATAAATTACAGTTTCATATTTTTAATTTTATAATTTCTGCATGCAATCTTACCAGATTTAAATTGATGATCTATAATCGGGAAAAATCGATAATCCAGAATCGCCAAAGTCCCGACGAGTCCGGATTAACGACTTTTGACTGTATTGGCCTGTGTACAATGTATGACTGTCTGCTTTGTCTTCTGCACAATCACTGCTGGGTGCATAAAATTAATCTTATTGTACTCTCAAATATTCGTTTCGTTCGTTGATGTCATATAGATTCTTAAAGCAGCAAAATTCTGTTATGAAAACTTTGCAAAGGCAGGTAGATTAAGATTCAAGGAAAAGAATATCGAGACTACAGTGATTTACCTTTCAATTGTTATTTATTTTTCCATATAATGCAGTAATTTGATTACAGTAGTTTTAAAAACAGCAATTTGCATTTTAAAATTTTTTATTTATTTTTTTCAATATATGTAATAATATGAATAAATGTGAAATTTTCATTTTTGACTTTTTATTTTTGAAAAATTTCTATATTTTAAAAATTGATTTTTGAAAATTGATTTTGAAAATGAAATTTCTATATTTTAAAAATTTTGAAAAATTTCTATATTTGGTTGTTTTTCAATTGTAATGAGGTTTTGGATATCAATGGAAGTAATAAAACAATCTTTTGAAACATTTTTTTATTTCAGTATGATTTGAGACGAGTCTGGATTAACGACTTTTGACTGTATTAGTATTTGTTTCATTGTTTTAGATTGTGCAAGCATGGATTCACATTTCTCTAACTGCTCTTCAGATACAATTGATTCAATAAGAAAAATGACAGCAAGTCGACGAGGTGGGATCAGAATCCGAGGTCGGAGGTAAGAAAGACTTTTTTTGGTAGTTATGAAAAATATTACAATATACAGGCTTATCATGCTTTATGAACATTTTTACACCACTTTAGTTTCACAGGAGACCTTTTAGCAAAACCCCAAATATTCCAATTTAATTTGTAAAATTTGGCCCATAGAAAGATATTTTTTTTCTGTTCTGATTATGTATTGATTGTAAAGAAGGGTATTTTTTCCTGTTTAGTATTTTATTTCAATTAAGGTGTTGAAAATAAAAGGATTTTGTGATCTTTGCATTTGCAATCGTCTGAAATTTTTTTCCCAGTAGGCCTTGCAAAAAAAGTTTGTTAAAATTTTTGGAATTCTGAATGTAACAGATTTTTTGCTTACTAGCTTTAGTTTAGTTTTTTTCTTGGATTACCTGATTAATTATATTTGGTTTATAATTCAGTCTAATATATGTTTATGTATAGGATGTATTATGAATTAAAATTAGAAAATCTTAGACAATATGGTCTTCATGTGAGAATCACATTTATTTCATTAGTGCAGGGTTTCTTAAACTGTAGGTCACGAGGGGGTTCGCCAAAAATTTTAGCAGTTTTGATATTTCTTGTAATAATTTTACAATTAGCAAATATTTTTACACAACGTATTTGAAAATGAAGATAAGACAATACAGACAAAGAAACAAACGGAAACGTTTTGATGCATTTTTTTAGTATATATATTACAGTAACAAGGAAAACATGACAGTTTTACTCTTGTGTGTGTCATATTTTTGCAATACTTATGGGGTCTCACAAAATATTTGTAAATATTATGGGGAGGAGTAGCAAAAAAATCTCAGTGATAAAAGAAGGTCACAATTGGAAAAAGTTTAAGAAACGCTGCTTTAGTGTAATATTATATTTTTTTATAAGATTATAAAATTAAAAAGTGAACTGTTACTCTTATACATGCCCTCGGTTGGGTTAACGACAAATTTCTCGCAAAATACTTTTGGCAAGAAACTCCATGCTGCCATATTACTATCTAAATTTTTATCAACATTTCGAACTTTGAGCCTAAATTGTGTGTTAAAAATGCGGTTTTCGCTCATGCAAAAACCACATTTTTAACACACAATTTACGCCAAAAATCCAAAACAAAACATTTAGATAGCAAAAACGTAAAGTTTCTAACCAAAAATATTTCACAAGAATCCATGTATACAATGATCTGTTTTAACTTTAAAAAAATCAGAGAATTGCACAATTTATACAGTATAGGAATTTAGGAATTCAATTCTGATAACAAAACAGTACCAGTCATTTTAATGGAATGGTTGCTAGAAACAGCATTCATTATAGCAAGCATTGATTTTATAAGCATTATTCAAGTCTGTATTTTCAGTAATATATAGAAGGTGCTGACAACATGGTCTTTAAATATGTATTATTCCAGGTGCTATGGAAGGAGTCTATATATTTGTCAGAATATTGCCAGCATAAAGGTACATACATTTTTCAAGAAGTCTTCATTCGGTACTTTTCTGTTATCGGGATGGATTCAGAAATATATGAATGTATGCCTGTGTGCATGTATATATGTGCATAAATGTATACACACATATACATTCATGCTTACATAGTATATACATGAACACTATCCATGCATACATGAACACATACATCCATGTATACATGCATTTCTGGATTCAGTCCTGATAACAGAACAGTATGCACCTGAAACCAATAATCTCCTAAATTTCCTCAGTGCCTACAGGTGAGTGATATTATAAGTGGGAAACCTGGTCTAGCAATCAAGCCTACTGTTGCATTTCTAGAAAACCATTTCAACTTCAGTAAATAGTAAGCCTGCAGTAAATGATATTCTATGATACTGAAGCAGAAGACACAAAGTTTCAGATATTAGTAGTTGGATTACTGCGATAGTTTCAAGGAAAATGTGATGTTTGTGGATAAGGTTTAACTGACATACAGTGTGCCCAAGGTTTTAATCTGGTCTGCCTGATGCTGTTGGAAATATAATAAAATTTCAAAATTTTAATCTTTTAGAAAAAAAGAGGGGATACAAAATATTGAATTTAGTGTTGGACCTAATGATTATAAATAAATTGTGAAAAATAAAAATTTTTTAAAGTAGGAAAACCCAAACCTGTGTAATTTGGGACTAAGACTGTGCAGATTTGGGGTCATTATATATATTAGATTTAACCTAAAGCAGAGCAGAATAAGTAAAAACAAAACATTAAAAATGTTTTTTACATTTTTATAAAGTTAAACAAGGGGCTGATGAAGAGGCATAAAAAGTCATTTTTATGTTTCAGAATTTTTACATTTCATATTATGTAATACAGAATAATAGTCACTACTTCCTGATACATGCAAATTTCATAGCCAAAAAATTTCAAATAATTTTCACCTAATACCACATCATCATTAAATGGTATTTTCCATATCATCTTGATCAGAATATTTTTCACTAAATTTAACACTGTGAATGATTTCATGACATCTGAAAGTTATTTTTAAGTTTATGGGAAGTTGTTATCTTACCCACAGCACCATAAGTTGTGCTACATATTTATCCAAGTAAATTTAAAAGCATATTCTTTTATGTTTATTTTTAAAGTTTTGCAATTATGCGACCTTATGACACCTGAGAGGCTGTTAGGATTTCAGGTTTTGGTGGATTTTCTATAGTAATAGTGCACAAATTTATAATTATTAAGATCAATTTCTAATATTTAGTTAATGTATTTTCTTATGGAACATACAACAACCTTATGGCCAACTCCCTGCAAAATATTTTAGTGGTTTTTTTACATAGCAAGACAAGACAGCAATGTTAGAGATATTTCTATTTATCTCCTTTCTGTAGTCTAGTCTTCTGTAGCTTCTGTGGTGTTTTTGTTCAATTTGTTTGTTTCAGCTTTCTGATAACTGATTGTGTCAACTGGATGACATTTCACGTCATTTTATAAAATTTAATTTATTTGAAGTGTATTTTATTTGCATTTTATTCTGTTTATTTTTCATATGATAATAATTTATGATTTTTCATTATGTGTGTTAACAGTCAATGTTTAAGCATCTTCTTTCTCATGTTTGGAATTTTCCAAATTTGAGTCACTTAAATTCATATAAGGTTATTTAGATATCTGCATGAATTAAATATATGTTTCTTCTGATGCCTTTACAATCAGCTCTGAATTTACAGTGATAAGACTGGGCTGAATGTCCATAATTGATTAAAAATCACAGTTACTCCTTGAGCAGTTCAAAAAAAGACACAGAAAAGATAAATAATCTATATTATAATTAAGAGAAAAGTACCATTGATAATTTATCTAGGTTTAATCCTAGTATCCGGTGCGACAGGATTTGGCTACTTTTGGCAACTTTATGATGAGCAGTAAAAGCGGGACATATACGATGAGTAGTTAACCGCTCATTAAAAGAAAATATACAGTTAAACATAGTATATACTATGTGTGTATATACATATACTATGTATGTATAGTATATATATAGACGTTCTTTGGATCATTTTTGGTGTTGGCGATAATTTTCAGTCATGCCAAGGCTGCACCGTATACTAGGATTTTACCAAGACCTCTAATGCTGCTACCATCTAACCCAAATTTTGAAATTATAGAATTATTATTAAACTGCTTTGTAATCCTAGCTAGTCTGAGAAAATCTAGGAACTCTTATCTATGATGTTTTGACTGGCAACAAATCATATACACAATTATAAGGTTTCCGCATTATTTGAAATGACAAAAATCAATTATCGATAAAGATATGAATGTAAAAGTTTAAGGTTAAGCCACTGGTTCTCCAACTGTGGTACACGTACCACTTGTGGTACATTATCTTTAGTGGTACATTTTTTATGGAAAATTAAATGAATATAAAATTGCGCCTATTTGAACATTTTGTTTTAATCTTTATTATTCAGAAACACATATATTTGTCAAATTTTTGACTTTTGCGGCTCTAGCTTGAATGTTAAAATGACTACTTTTCCAAGAAAACTGATTAAAATTCACAACATTCACCATTTTTTTAAACCTTGTAATATCTAAAATGTCAAAAAGACAGAATGCATATATTTTTTAAATGTATCTTGTCAATGCTGGTCCTCTGACTCAGGTGTCTTTCTGCTTTTTTGTACAACTATATTATTTGCTTAATGTATGTGTTATTTATTACTCACTGTTTACTGCAATTTTTATATATATATACACTCATAGTATTTATATTTTATTGTAATGTAAAAGTTTCATTGGTACAACTCTGATATACGCCCTAATTTCACCAAATGTGGCGATATGTGTTCTGTGCTGGTTTTTGGCGCGATTGCGTGTTGTATGGCAACCCTGTTGACGTTGAAAAGTCTTTCGCTGGAGTTCGTTGGTTCCCGTCATGCTTTGTGTCTGAGAAGCTAGGGGGGAAAGATTTAATGGTGAAAGTTGTTGAATTGAAGTTCGGCATAAGGAAATATCGTCGTGGTCATCCTGTTGAGGGGCAATGGGTATTTGGAGGTGTGGAAAGAAGGTATGGGAGATTATTTTTAGTGGTTGTGCATGATAGAAGTAGGGATTTGTGATTATTTGTTATTTTATTTATTTGTGAACCATAGTATGAATTTTCTGGATAGTGTGTCTGGCTGTCATATAAATATGATACTAGTGATTACGTGGCGGCATGTTAAAGGCGGTATGAAATTGGTATATTTCTATCTCTTCGAAAAAGCATTAATGGTAAGTGCATTTTATTTTATTCTTGTTCTTATTTTGTAGAATGTAATTGTTTCATTGTTTTTTTAGTATGAATTTCTGTCGTTATTGTTGTTTTTTTTGAATTGTTTCAAAAAATTTATTTTAGTTATTTTGTTGATTAGTGCGTACCATCTGAATTCTGCAATTCGTAGATGTTTTTTAAAGTTGAAACAGGATGCTGTGTACATGGTATTCTTTGAAATTTATTGTTATGTTAATTTATTAAAGCGAGGTGTGCGTAGTTCGTAAATTCGTTCGTTGCCTAGATTGTGCCATTCGTAGATGTTTTTTTTTAATTGAAACATATTGCTGTGTACATGGACTCTTGTAAAATAATTTTGGTTAGAAACTTCACGGTTTTGCTATCTAAATTTTTTGTTTTTGTTTCGGATTTTTAGCTTAAATTGTGTGTTCAAAACGTGGTTTTTGCATTCGCGAAAAACGTGTTTTTGGAGACATTTTAGGCTTAAAGTTCGAAATGTAGACAAAAAATTTAGATAGCAATATGGCAGCGTGGCGTTTCTCGCCAAAAATATTTGGCTAGAAATTTGGCGCCTTGAGGGCACATATCAGAGTAGTTCCGTTTCATTCACGATTATAATTAAATAACATAAATTTAAAGGGTTTTATTCTTTGATTATATATGCAGAATCGTCCACTTATTTGGCGCGTTATGTTTGGCGCTTTTTACAAGAGTAAGAAGAATTGGATTTTTATCAATTTCCTTTGACCTTTTTAATTGAAAATGCATCGATGTGTACATTGACAAAGTCAAGGGAGTGCGCAATGCCGAACTTGTGCAATTCTCTCATGTTTTTTTAAGGAAAAAAGGTCGATGTGTACATGAATACCGAGTTTGTGCAATTCTTAGAAACGCGCCAAGCAGTGGGTGATTCTGCACTTTCCCGTAATGCTTTTATGGTGGTACATATATTTTTGTTTCATATTATATGTGGTACAAAATTTGAAAAATAAGCATCTCAGGGTTAAGTCGGGATACTTTAGCGGAGGATTTTCTAGTAGAAGCTGGATAGTATTAACATTATACATTGTGAAAACGATGAAAAATCCTTATCTCAGCTACCCTGTTCCTTGGTTCAGTAATGGGTAAAATTCTAGTATACAGTGCAGCCTTGGCGCGATTTTGAAAATTATCGCCAACATAAAAAATGATCCAAAGAATGTCCTTAAACTATACACTATATACTATGTGTGTATATACATAATATATACTATATTTAACTATATATATTCTTTGAATGATCCGTTTACTACTCATCGTATATGTCCCGTTTTTACTGCTCATCATAAAGTCGCCAAAAGTAGCCAAATCTCGTGTGCACCGGATACTAGGATCAAACCTTTATCTATATTTTCAATAGTTAATTCTTGAGAATGAACTCATCTGGTTATGTTAGATAAATTTGTAATTTGGAAAGAAAAAGAAAAGGGGGATGGACAAAATAAATATCATTAGAAATTAAGCAGCTAAACTGTAAATGGCATTAAAGAACAATATTTACAAGGGAACTTGAACAATGTTCAAACTTGAATAAAATAGTTTTTTAAAAAACCATTTTACTGTATTTATGCATTTCAGATTATATTCTGTTAAATTACATGCTGTTGCAGGTAAAAGCAGCTACTAAATACATCATTATCATCTACTAGTATCACTCCTGTTGACCCTTGCATTTTTATTTTTTCTATTTTCTGCACACAGTTTTGTTCTATGCTGATACTTTGCAATAGTAATTTTTCCATCAATCCACAATAATTTTTTTTTTTTTTTTTTGATAAATCACACATTTAATTCAAATTTGACTTTACTGGGAACCAAAAACACATCTTGAATGAATGTATGGACATCAGATTTGGTTACAAATGTTTTTCTTGTTACTTTGCATAAACTGAATCCTAGAGCCAACTTCTTTTTTGTTGTAAATAATGTGTATGTGCATAAAAGATTATACATACCTGTTTTAAAAATTTGCCATAAAATTTATTTGAAAATGAAATTTTCTTTTCAAAATATTCAGATTTCCACCAACTGGAATACGAAGTGATATGCTGCCTACTGGTACCAAAAAAGTTGTTGCTCCTAAAATTCCACAGAGACGAACTCAGGTGAAAAAAGAAATTCCGTATGTATTGAATTTATTAATTGATAAACAAGTAAATTCTATCTGTGTGATGTAAAATGCTAAAACATTTTAGGGTTGTCATATACATATATATGCTAAAGTGAAATTATTTTATATATGTATTTTGAAAAGCAAGTTTAGATAATAATTAAATCAAAGTGTTAATGTTAAAATATATTAAAACTGGCAATATCAGTCTGCTGACAAACAGTTTATATGTACACTGTGGGGGAGGGGGGGAAGGACAGTTCTATATCTCTCATTCTACTTGGCCAATTGACGAAATTCGACTTGCATTTTTCATGTTTCGAAAGCGCGATTTGGGATATGTATTAGATTTATATATAGCATTGTTCTAACACGGGTATTTTGACACAAAATAATTCTGATAACTACTTAAGTACTCTTCTTATAAAGTACCAAAAATTGGATCAATTGGACAAATTTAATTCATTCTGTCCCCCCCCCCCAAAGTTAGGCTTTGGCAGCATGAAATACCCGTCCCCATAAGACAGTGCATTCGATTAGCGTGTCATCCCGAGAGAGTGGTTCAATGACTGAGCTAGCCATCATGAACAGGTTAAATCTGAAAAGAGAATTGAAATATTGTACGAATCCCTCATTTATATGTTATATATAACGTTTCAGGAAATTCAAAATCTTTGCAGTTTCTGTTGACATGACATACAAATATACAATTAAATATTCCTCACTGTAAAGAAAGAAAATTCGGGAGTTGTTTGTCATATACATGCATAAGTAGATATTAAAAAATCGGGAAATTGCTCTTTAAGTAAAAGAACTAGTATTGGCCTGTGTACAATGTATGACTGTTTGCCTTGTCTTCTGCACAATCACTGCTGGGTGCATAAAGTTAACCTTGTTGTACTCTCAAATATTCGTATCGTTCGTTGATGTCATATAAATTCTTAAAGTAGCAATTTCTGTTATGAAAACTTTGCAAAGGCAGGTAGGTAAAGATTCAAGGAAAAGAATATTGATACTACAATGATTTAGCTTTCAATTGTTATTTATTTTTCCATATAATGCAGTAATTTGATTACAGTAGTTTTAAAAACAGCAATTTGCATTTTAAAATTTTTTATTTTTTTCCCTCAATGTATGTAATAATAAGAATAAATGTGAAATTTTCATTTTTAACTTTTTATTTTTGAAAAATTTCTATATTTTAATGTAAAAACTGCATATATCAGAAAATGGATTTTATGTAAAGCTGAAAAATAATTCTTAATTTGGTTCTTTTTCAATTGTAATGAGGTTTTGAATATCAATGGAAGTAATAAAACAATCTTTTGAAACATTTTTTTATTATTTCAGTATGATTTGAGTCGGTAACATAAAGTCCCATATAATCTTGTTTTATCAATTTTTCTTTCAAGAAAGGGCAGAATATTTTATTTAGCTTGTAAAAAGAAACTACTCTTTATTATAGAGAATGCTCTGTTAAAGCTGATATTATTGAGCAAGAGAAAAAAGTTGAATCGTGGCGTGGTCGGGGCCATGGATCTAAAATTATTGTGCAGACAGCTGGTTCATTTCTAGGAGAAGGAGTAGCACCAAAGATAAAAAGAGGTGTTCCTTTCTATTATTTTTATTAACATGTTATTAAGCATGTTCTGTAAGAAAACATGTACAGTACAAAGTCCGTAATCCAGACGTAAATTATCCGGAATGATCTATATTCCGGACCTCAAAGCCACCAATTATTATTTTTTTGTATGCATTATGCATGCACGTTTAATGCACACTTCTGATATGCATGCACGCATGCGTCGCTTCTGATAGTGAAGAAAGTGACAAAAATGAAACGTTTATTGAAAACGAAAAAATTTTGATTGACAAGTTAGTTGGTATTCTCGACACAGCAATTACAGGACTTGAACAGTTGAACTTTGTAACTGAACAAGAAATTATGTCTGTTTATAGAATTAAAGAGAAAGTATTAGCACAAAAAACGAAGCAATTAAACAATTTACATTGAATGAAATCTTTAATAAAGTAAACAAATATTATGCTTTTTTTTTTTTTGTAAATTTTGATACCCTTAAATCATAATTGCTCTTTATTTCATAAATTATGGTTTCATATTTTTAATTGCGTAATTTCTGCATGCCATCTTACCAGATTTAAATTTATGATCTATAATCCAGAAAAACCCTAATCCGGAAACGCCGAAGTCCCGACGAGTCCAGTTTACGGACTTTGTACTGTATAAAACAGCCATTTGGGATTCTTCTTAAAAGACATTATGAGAGATTTGATTAAAATATATTCTTATTTTTTATTAATTTCTTATAAATACATGATTGATAATTTTAATTACCTTTACTATAAAGATTAATAAAACATTTAATTATTTTTTGATTTTTTTTTTTTTTTTTTTTTTTTTTTGTTTCAATCTGCAGCACAATTTGCAGTTATTTCAAACCGCAGTTAATGTTTGACATAAACCGCAGTTAATGTATGTGTACTCTCTCTTCTCTCAAAACCATTTTTAAAAAGTAGTTGAAAGATTTTGAAAATGTTAATTTATGTTAACAGATCTTGGTTGTAACAGCAATTAACCCTTTGCGGCACAGTGTGCTCGATCTGGGCACGCTTAAAACTTTCCTTCTGTACGCACAGAAAAATTGAATGAAAAAGGATTTAAAGGTTACTATAGGTTACTCGGAACCTTCTTTATTTATAGTAAATGGAAGCTCAACACAAACCAGTCCATATATTTTAGCCATGTTTAGTTTTTTAAGACCCTCATTTCTCAAAGAAATCTTCCAGATTTTTTTTAGGGTATAAAAGGAATTGTTTGAAAAAAAATTTCTATGTTATTTTTTTGGCTGTATTCTAATCTCCTTATTCTATATTAGTTTTAAATTTTTACCTTGAAATCTTGCCTAAAATCGAACGGCGAACCGAGGTGTTCCCAGACTGGGCTCACTGCAAGTCTAGGTAACTGAGAGGCAGCTGTTTCTTTGTTTCTCTGCAGCTCATCGGTCAGCTCATTAACATAGAAAGGTGGGTCCACATCTGTGTTTCATTTCCTGTTTTTCTGTTTCTTCTATCAATTATTTTTTGGGGAGGGGGAGGTTTGGTTATCAACTAAGAAACTGTTGGAATGATTTTCTGAAGGTCAGTAATAATTTTATCAATTAGCTGTTTGGTTTTTCACTAGAGCAGTCTCTTTTTCTCTTTCGCTTTCTTAGCGCTACGTTTAGTAGTTTTGAGTTGTAGACATTTATATTTTTATTTTATAGTTTATAATTTCAAAATTGTAGATATAATATTAGTTTATTTTTTCGGATTTTTAATTATTTTCCAAACGGATCAGAGAGGGCTGACCAGTTCTAAAGCACTGAAAGTGCTACACGAATTGCTTTCAGATAGTGAATCTAGTACGGATCCCAGCACATGTTCAAAACATGCAATATTGGGTTGTGCATTTTCAAAGGTGGTGTCACTTTCTTCAAAAAGTACCACGCTGAAAAAATAGACTAAAGTGCAAATATGAAATGTAAATAATGTAAATATCATATACCCATGTTACTTTCCCTCCATTCATAAGCATGTAATCATCATATAACCAAAAATGAGCTTTTTAGGGGTGGGTTAGAATAGCAGATCTCCCCGTGGCACACCCTGGATAATGCTAAATCTGATATGGTATTCAGAATCTAGTGTTTTTTAATCATAGGCAAAATCTCTTGCTCTTTTACGCACTTCCCAGCAATGCTCGTTTCAGCACTCTTTTCGAAGCTCTATTCAATCAGGCACACCCACAGAATTAAAATGATAAATGTTATCTTTACAAAATTTTACTTGTGTACTCCTCTAGGCCTAATTACCCTGCCTACTTTTTTTTTTTTTTAATCAAAACTCCGACTTTAAAAGGTAGTGTGGCGGAAAGGGTTAAAAAGCTACTTTTTAAGTATTTTGTAACTGAATATTTCATTGTATTGCCAAGCTGTTCTTTCTGATGCTATCTCATTTTGAAAGTAAAGTACTTTAAAAAAATTAATGATATCTAAAAACGTATCCTGCTTGTTAAATTTTCAGAATGTGTGTTAAGTTAAATCTAAGGTACTTTTGTTAAACACATTCTCAAGTATTTACAGGGTTATCATAAAAGATTGCCTGAATAATACTGGCATACGCGCACACTCATATGCATGTACTTATGTAAGATGAAAAATTATTGCTAAATCAAAATTCTAACTTTAATTTGCAGCAGTCCTTTAACTCTATATTTCAGTTTGGTTATTTTTCCTTTCTGTCCTAAAAACAGTGGCATTCTAAACTGCATCATTTCAGAATTAACCTTCTTTGCATGATTCTTATAATACATTTATGAGGCAGATACTTACTTTAATAATAATAATTGTAGATTTGGGAAAAAATTAAACTAAAATCATTCTGAACCAAACTTTCATCTCAGACACATCACATTGCTGTTGTTGACGTGACACATCACATTACTGTTGTTCCTCATGTTACTTGCTATCCTGCAAACATGTCATTGCTTATTTCTCTTGCATTAATTGCATTGTCATTACAATGCAGAAAAGCATAAATAAGTCCCTAAAAATGGGTTCAGATTGCATCCTTTGCATGATGTAATTCAAGTTAAGAATATGCTTTTGATGAATTGTTTATCCAGAGATAAAATATGTTCAGTTGGCCAAGAATGCTGCTTTGGGTCTGATGCTATTAATTGTTAATCATCACACAGATTAATTATAAATTAAAAATTATAAATTCTATTGAAATGATTTAACTATTTAAAAATACTCAGAAATATCTGAAGTTTCCAGTCATAACATAATAAGATCTCAAATGTATTCCTATATTACTCAGCAGACTTCAAAATGGTACTGTTTCTCTTAATGTATGCTACAATCTTTTATCTCAAGTACTAGAGATCCAAAAATATTTCACTAGAAGTGCCATGTTCATTCACACAAAATAAAGGGCACTGAGATAAAGACAACAAAGCTTTGGGGGAATCAGCTTAACTCTTCTGATGCAGTCATTAGGGGGTGTCCAGAAAAGAAGTGATAAAAAGGATGACACATATATCTGAAATTAATGTATTTATTGCATCAAGATTTGCATAACTGGAAAGATGAACTCGAAACATTTCAATCCACCTCTAGAGTGCAATTTGCAGCTTGGCTATGTCTAAGCATCACCATATCTCATTTTACATATTTGAAAGTATTTCTAATGTGACTAGTCCTATTGTTTCCATAATTTGAGCATGCAGATCTAAAGAGGTCAGGAATATTTTACTAGTTTTGATTTTTGCTATATTGTTTTTATGAAGCAGAACACATTTGTTTCTTCTACTGTAATTTCTTTACCTTAGAATGAAAAACTCTGGAATTAAAATGTACAGTGCTGGATCAATATTTAAGGAAGTAAAACCAGCTTTTTCAGAGGCCCACAGAGGATATATGGTATACATAATATAGATGTTCTCGAAATAGGTATCGCAACTCTCATGGGTGTTGCATAAAATTACAGTGTTTACTGTAATCATGCATAAAATTGTGGTTTCCAGTACTTTCTACTAAATCGAAACTGTGAAGCTACAAAAGAAGCCTTCCCTACCCCCCAAAAAAGATCAAGGAAATTTAAAACATTTTTTCTTGGTATCTAGCAAGATTTGGATATTAATTAATGTTGAGTTTGTTTTGAACTAGTGCTAGATAATGTGAGAAAAATACATTATACTGCATCCTTCAATTGTGTTTTTACAATGTATTAAAAAATTCTATAATTAAAAATCAGTTTATAAGGATTTTAAGGTATGCACTGTGAATTTCTTTTTTTATATAAATGAAAGTAAGGTATTTCAGTCTAATCTTCAAAAACACTAGAGTAGTAAATACTATATTGGGCTGGGCAGTTTCTAGGGATGAGAGAAAAATCATGTTTTTCTATTAAAGCTGCTGTAGAAAAATGAAACATCAGTGTGATTCAATGTATATATATTTATACTCATGATTGAATTACTATGGGAATTATTGGGTGTGCTGGGATGCTATATTTCTGTTATATATGTTTTCCTTTAGTGCATATTTGTGATGAATAATAATTAATTTTTAAAATCATCTGAGCTTCTGTAGTTTGCAAATTGATTAAAACATGGATACTGAATAAGCAAATAGTGAAGGCAGGGTACTGCATTGGACTTTTTGACAAAATACATTTTAGTTCAAACGGAAAGTTATCTGTGGTCAAAAGAAGTTGTGAGTAAAAAAGTTGAAAGTTGTTGGAGATCCCACCAAAGTTATACAAATATTCCTCTGGAGTTCTGAAGGAACTAATGTCTCTTTATTTAATAAAATGTCAGCATTGGACTTGCTGCATTAAAAAAAAAACAAAAAAAAAAAAAAAAAAAAAAAAGTGGCTTTGATCAATTTCTATTATTTTGTTAAGCCTCCGATTTTATCAGAAGTTCTGTTTAGAAAGCTATGAGTGAAAACTTACTGTAAGTAATTGTTCCAGTCTTTTACTGTTTTGTCTGCCATATCCAGCTGATAAGGATATGGCAGACAAAACAGTAAATACATAACTTTTTAATACATACTTGTTTTGAAGGTAGGGTCATATAACTTTGAAAATAATCCAGTGCTTGCTGTTCTGTAAAAGGCAGGTCTCAAATTTTAATTGTTTGTTTTTTAAAATGCAAGGAAAAAATACATAAGTAATAGTTAATAATATCCTTTTTCATAAAACAAAAGATGGCTTACTAAGAATCAATCAGGTTGCATCAAATGAAAGTGCAGATGCTGAGAGTATGTTGCTATGTCACTCTTATGAATAGCTACCACTACATCATGCTGCTTGCCGACGGTTTCATGGTCAAAGAGATAATACTTAGGCACCAAAAAAGTTTACAGTAATGTATTCTAAACAACCTTCCATTTTATTTTTTATAAAAATGAAAAAAAAAAAAAAAACATTATTAAAGTTAAAACAGCTATATATATTTAATTATTTATTTTATATTAATTTATTTTTTTAATTCAATTTTCATTTTATTACAACAATTAATTTTTCATTTAATTAACAAAAAGTCTTATTTATCCTTTAAATATGCATTATTTTCTCAAAATTACAACTCTTGTGCCTTAAAACCAATTCTTTTAAAAATATCATTGAGGAAGTGAATAATAATTTAAAAGGATGCTAATAATCCTTGCACTTGCAATACTGTCATTCTATTAAAATTGCACAGTGCGATATAACAGATTTTCTCTAATAAAAATAATCATTCCACTTAAGCAGCATATTGTTAACCTTTTAATGATGTTGGAGAAAAAGATTTCCTTCAGAAAATTTTTTATTTGAATTCATATTTCCTTTTAGAAGGACATGGTGTTTTAGGTTTTCAAAATAAATTGATATTAACATTCACTGTTATAAAAGAACAGAGGAATATAAAACTTGTGTTTGGAAAAGAGCAGTTCACAAATGCATCTGTTGATTAGTATAGTAATCTTCTATTTTTTTTCCCAAAGTTTCTACTGAAAATACTTTAAAAACTATTATTTGGTAGATAAAATTTCCTTGAAATTTTTTACATCCATAAAATTCTTTTCAATTCAGTTCATGATTTTAATTCAAACCCTTTTCCCATTTGATATTCAGATACTTTAGTTAGAGATTTATTCTTTTTTCTTAATAGATGCCAATAGTCTTCTTACATAATGGATCAGAACTGTGCAGTACATTTAAAACTTTTCCGTATGTAAAGCCTTTTCTGCACAGACTGCCTAATTATCTTTATTAGGTACTGAATAAGACAGTATGGTAATTTTATTTAAGCCAGATCTCTCTGTTCTCATTTATTATGTTATTATGTTTATTTTCCATAATTTAGTATGCCTTTTCTAATCAATTAAAGAAGCTTATTAATTAAGTAGACAAAATTTTTATAACTGTTCATAAGCAATATGCTTAGATGCTTCAGTTTCTGAAAATATTGTATTAAATCTTCATTTTATCTCAGAGCTGCCTGACTACCATGAAAGAGCTTATTTAGCAAACTGTTCAAGAAATACTGTGAGGAATGAGAAAACTGAATTTCAAATGAAAGAAGACGCTAATATCATTGATGACCTTCTGTTTCATGAAGACAATGAAGTACATATGCTTTTGACATAATTTTGAGTTATAAGTTACATTCATTATAGTAATTATATGCACCAATTATTAGTTATGTTGATCTTTTGGGCTTTCTTATTAGCCATGGGTCATTTAATGGCCATCCTATTGTACATTATTGTAAAAAATGTGCTTTACTTGAGTTAAAAATGAAAGCAACATTAAATAACAATTAATTTATACATACTGTGTCTCACAAAAGTGATAGGATACTTGTGCTTTACAAAAGGAAACTGTAATAAAATAAGTTTAAAAAACATGTAAACTTTTTTGGTGGGTGTGTTTCATACTTAAATTTAATAACAATTATTACATAACATACATTTTCTCAAAATATTAAAATATTAATTTAATAAAAATACATTTGTTTAGAACGCAGCAAAAAATGGCTCACATAAGTGATGGGACACCATTAGATACTACTACGTACTACAATAAAAATATTTTTTGGGTTTTTTATTTTTACTCAAAAGGAATCAGCAATAATTTATAAAATCGTTTGCAGTATTTCCCTCCAGTTTGTTTTGGAATTTTTGTGTTTTTTAGCTCTGTGCAACTATGAATGTTAAATGAAAAGAAACTTTGCCTGAAATTCGAAAATTAGTTATTAATTTGCATATTGAATGTGGAAAATCTATTAGAGAAACTGCTGAAACAGTTCACTTGAGTCATTCAACAGTTTTCAGTATCATTAAACGATATAAAAAGAATCATATGATTCAGGATAAAAGAAGAGAGAACAGTGGAAAAAAAATTATGGAAAGAAGAATGTAAATTTTTTTAAATATATCATGTAATCCTTATTTAATAATATAAATTCATATTTTAAATTGCTAAAGTATGTTTTCTTTTCACATGCTGATAATGTTTACTGATTTATGATAAATACGATAGTTTGGGAATCTTTCTGATAAAAAGGTGCGAAAACCACCAATTTGTAACCGATAAGTAACTTTTACCTTTTCATCTATCAAAAATCATGATCGGAAGAGCTCATCAGTGGCTAAGTAGTAAAACCTTTATGTCCTGGTAAATTGACCAGGATTCAAATCTTAGCAAATGGGCTGCTTTCATAGCTGTTTTCGTGGTTTTTTTCCCATGTGAAGATGAATATGAACCAGATTTCCTGAAAAGGTAATTCATCCTCTCCCTTTAGGCAGATAGCCATAGCACGATTTGCCATAATTAAAACAAACCAAACCAGTCAATTATCTAAGATGAACTATAGTCATAATTACTTCAACTAATTGGCATTCAACTACATATGCATTTATAATATAAACATATAAACTCATATATAGTAGAATTGGCAATAAAATCTTACTGCAGGGAAAATTCTGCATCAGTTGAAATATAGGTCTGGCAATAAAATCTTAACTGTTTTGCATCAATATGAATGGAAATATCCACGAAATAAAATTTTGATTTTTTTTGGGGGGGGGCCTTCTAATTAGAGTAGTATTATCTTTGTTAAGATATTCCTTATAGAAGAGATGAAATTTCCTTATAACTTTCAAAAATTCCAACACTTTAGCATTCTTGAAGTTGGATTTGAAACAAGTTTTTTGAATAAGTTGTTAATTCAGAAGAATTGACCAGTTTTAAAAATATAATTAGTCATAAGTTCATAAAAGAAAGGGAAGTATTCTTAATTAACTTTTTATTATTAAGTTTATTTTTTTTGTTGAATCAGTTTCTGAGGTTTCTGTACACTGTATTATTAAACATAAATTCTCTCTCTCTCTGTATATAAATTATAAAATCACAAATACACATATAAATTATTCAAATACCTTATACAATACCTTCAGTGGTGGATAGGGCCAGCAGGCAACCATGCAGTTGCCCGCATATAATATAGTTAGGGAGGCAACCATGGGGTTGAGCGATTTCGGGTCGATCAAGAAACTCAAACGATCAAACCGACACAGATGACTCAGCAAGACAGTCCTGAGTGTGGGGGAACGTACGTAGAATTAATACTTGCACTCAAAAGTATATCTTCCAGTGATATACAAAATGCACAGATACAACAAATGGCAAAATCTATTCTAGATAAAATATCAAATTTTAGAATAGTAATTAAATGGGAAGTACTAAAAAATTCAATTGAAAATCATTATTTTGAATCTGATACTGAGTTGGAAAGAGAGAAGGCTCTATTTATTAATGAGCATTCATCCAAAGCTAAATGCAGGTTTTGAAAAAATTGCATCTTGTTTGCATATAAATTACACTTGAAAGATAATTTATATAGTAATGCATACACCAATGTCTTGTTTGCTTATAAGATTGTACTCACCCTATTTACAACACAAGTTGAATGCGAAAGAGCTTTTGCAAAATTAAAAATTGTAAAAAGTAGATTAAGGAGTACTATGTATGAAGCAAGTTAATTTGGAGTCATTGCTATTGATGAACATAAAGAAGAATATTTTGGCTAAAACAAAAACTGAAGATATTAATTGAAGAAATATTTGCCCAGGTACCTGGAATTAAAAAATATTTAAATGGCTTAATTATGAATCAACTGCTGTTTCGTTTGTATAATTATTTAGTCACTGTTATTTTTTGTTTGTAGTTTATTTGCATATATATATGCATGTTTGTTTATTTGTTTATTTGCATGTAGTTTATTTGCATATATATATGCATGCATACAAACAAAAAATAACATGCATATATATATGCATGTTATTTTTTGTTTGTAGTTTATTTGCATATATATATGCAAATAAACTACAAACAAAAAATAACAGTGACTAAATAATTATACAAACGAAACAGCAGTTGATTCATAATTAAGCCATTTAAATATTTTTTAATTCCAGGTACCTGGGCAAATATTTCTTCAATTAATATCTTCAGTTTTTGTTTTAGCCAAAATATTCTTCTTCTAATATGCAAATAAACTACAAACAAAAAATAACAGTGACTAAATAATTATACAAACGAAACAGCAGTTGATTCATAATTAAGCCATTTAAATATTTTTTAATTCCAGGTACCTGGGCAAATATTTCTTCAATTAATATCTTCAGTTTTTGTTTTAGCCAAAATATTCTTCTTCTATATATATATATATATATATATATATATATATATATATATATATATATGAAAAAAGTGTTACTTTTCTGAAATGTACATTTTTATTTTATAAAATTTTTTTATGATGATGATAACTTATATGTATAATGACATTACATATGGGAGCCTTAGGGCCAACATATTTTTTCTTGCTAGCTGTGATCTCTTTGCCCAATCTGCCACTGAATACCTTATATAAATTATCATATGGATGACAATGTTATTAATTGTTTTAGTGTAATTAATAACAGTATCATATCTTAGGCATTTATAGATGATAAAAATTTTCAACAACCAGTGAAATTACCAAAGCAGGAATTGCAGAATATTAAACAAGAACCACCCGATCCTGACAATAAACCTTTTACAAAAGGTAGGTGTGAAATATTAAAAATATAATGGATGTTGAATATTTTTCATATTTTTTAATTGATATGATGATTAAAAACTAAATTTACAGTTATAATTTTGAAATTGATAATACAATTACTATCATTTGAGAAATGTATCATATGATCTCACGTCTAGAACAACATGAAACTTCTTTCTTCCACTTTGATATTTAACATATTACTCTAAATATGCTTCATATTTTATTTGCAAACTAATATTTTATTTATATTGCTTTTAATGCAAACAATATCGCATATTGTATTAAATAAGATTAAAAGTGGAATTATAAAGATTTATGTTAAAATCAACATCTGAATGCTATTCTAAAACTGTCGGGCATCTTGGGCAAATTGTAATATACTAGTCTGCCTTATATGCTTGACAATAAAAGCAATTGAACTTCCCGAAATTAGCAGTGCCATATGAAAGCTGAAGCATAATTAAAAAAAATATCTTTCATTTTAAAATTTAGCAAAAGTAATGCAATGAATATTACAGTCAAAAGTCGTTAATCCGGACTCGTCGGGACTTCGGCGATTCCGGATTATCGATTTTTCCGGATTATAGATCATCAGTTTAAATCTCGTAAGATGGCATGCAGAAATTCTAAAATTAAAAATATGAAACAGTAATTTATGAAATAAAGAACAATTATGATCTAAAGGGTATCAAAATTTGCAAAAAGAAAAAGCTTAATATTTATTTGTTTACTTTATTAAACATTTCTTTCAATTAAGTTTTGCTTCGTTTCATGTGATAATACTTTCTCTTTAATTCTATTAAACAGACATAATTTCTTGTTCAGTTACAAAGTTCCGCTGTTCAAGTCCTATAATTGCTGTGTCGAGAACACCAACTAATTTGTCAATCGAAATTTTTTCGTTTTCAATAACCTCTGTCACTTTCTTCGCTATCGGAAGCGAATTATAATGAGGAGGAACTTGTTTTAAACCATATCAAAGACGGAGCATATTGAGATGAAATACTACATTTGGTAAGGAATTATAAGCCAAATAAAATAAAAACATCTGCGCTGAAGATAAGGATAGTGCTGACAGATCAACTTCCAATTCATTATGCGCCCGCCGCAGCGTTCCCCCCGCCGAGCAGCGTGAAATTGATAAACAGATTTCGGATTTCAAAACATACTTTCGCTTTAGATCCTTTACATATTGACAAATATATATCGGAAATTCTATTTGATATAATCAAAAGTTTAAGCTTACTTTTATAAAATTGCTCTTACAGTCTGCAAAAAATAATAAGCCACATCCAATTCGAAAATTAAGGAACAACGCAATCATCAACATTAACTGAAATAGATAATTAGATAATTTTAGCTTATACATCCATTATACATAAAACGTGCACGCGAAAACGTATTCTGCACTTGCGCACACTCATATGCGCAGTCGTAAAAGGTCTTACGCGCGCACGTAAACGCCTATGCGCATGTGTCAACGCGGCGCATGCGCAGAAAGTTTTTAGTTTTGAGGTCCGGATTATAGATCATTCCGAATTATGGGTGTCCGAATTAACGACTTTTGACTGTATGTGAAAAATGCAAAACTTCTTCATAAAAAGTTTCATGTGTAAGCATTTCAGAACTAGAAGAGAGAACATGTATGGTGATGTATGGTCAAGCTGAATGAAGATTGCAATCACTAGAGAATTTGAAATATGCTTTTGATCTGAAACAGTCGTGCCTAACTCTTGCTGAATAACTTGACATATCCAATATGTAATATGATGTTTTATGGCATTCTGACAAAAACTTTAATGAAAAAAAAAAGATATGTATTCTATTTTTTCATGAAGAAACAATAGACAAGTACATTGATTCTGAAATGACTTGATTAATACAAACATCAAAATTCTTATATTGTATCATCATCGTTTATGAGACACGGTATTTCAGCTATTACCTGGAATCAAATATTAGATTGCATTGTGTGAATCCCCTGTGTTGCACAAAACAAATTAATTGCATTTCAAGTCGTAAGTGAAGGTAATATTAATCTGTTTCTATAATTCAAAGGACATCGTTTTTGTGAATTCATTCCAGAAAATGAAATTTTTATTGATATTATTTAAGCGCTACAGAGCATTTTGCTGAACTGCTAAAATATCAAAAGCCTGGAACTTGGTATTTTCTGTATGACAATACTCCATCTCATAAAAACTATCACCTTTAATCCCCCTTCCCAAAAAAACAGCTTGCAGCTTTAACACCTATCCTATTTGTGAGATTTATGTAATAATTTTCAACATCTCAAAACAGCAAATGAAGGAGCTCTGTATGATGATAAGAGATACGCATATTACCATGATGAAATTTAACGAGGCCATTTTACAAACAAACCTACAAAAGCTTCTTAACTAAGCAAACAAGGTTAGCGCTATACTAACTTTAAAAAGCATGATAGTAAAAGGTCTCAATTTTCGTCAAAATAATGAAATTTTGTGTTTGCCTAAAAGATTCACTTTCTTTTTACATGCACTGTGTAGTTCAATGATATGTATACTGCACATGTATAATTTAACAGCTTTCCCTTCTTCTAAATTAACAGCTTGTACCTGTATTATCTGCTATATTTAATTGAAATAATACTTTAACCCATTTAAATTTATTTAATTGGCTGTAGGTGCATTTTATATATTACAAAACTAAAATTCCTCACTGCTGCCTTGATTTTTACTAAATAAGAAAGGGAGGAAATTCATTTAATTTTTATTTTGTCAAAATTACATAAAAAGAGAGACTGCATTTTCTCCTGATTTTAGTAATTTTCAGTACAAATTTTAATTAAAATATAGGTTATGCAGTTCTTAAGCAGAATATTTATTGAAAGTGGAAATGAAATTAAAAACTGTGCACATAAGATACAGGTATTTAATGTGAATTGTGACTTAAGAGCAGAAATTAAAATTTGTTTCTTCATGCATATGCAATTTCTAAATTGTAATTTTTTACTTTAACTTATTAATTTAAGAAAATACCGTTTTCCTTAGAAGTAATGGAGAATTCTACATGCAAAAATACTTGAATTTAAGGAAAATTTATTCATAATTTAATGAATTTTTAAGCTTTTTTCTTCAACTCATTAAGTTTGAACTTAAATATCTCATTCCTCTAAAGTTTGATTTATAATTGCATTTGCAGTTTCTTTTGGGATTTTAGTAAAATATAAATATTAAAGTATATGTAAATAGATTAATAACAAAACATAATATAAATGGAAAATGGTGCATTCGGTCAAAAAATAAAAATGGAGCAGTTCTGTATCTCCTGTTCTACTGTTGATGAAATTTAACTTGAATTTCTCATGTCTCATAATCGTGACTTAGACTATGTATTGCATTTATGTACACTGTTGTTCTAACATACCAGATTTAAACTTTTTCTGAAATGGCATGTCAGTTTTTTCATATTTCGATTCTTTGACTCAAATGATGCCTAAAAACCAAATTTTGTAAAATTTAGTATAATCAGTAATCAGTTATTCAGATTAATCAGTAATCCAGAAATTTACTTTGGTGAACTTCTCAGTTTATGGCAACCTATTTCAATTTGCCTTTCTCTTTCTGCATGAGCAGGAAAATAGTATCGATTTTTTCTTTCTTGTGTGTATTTTTAGTTTATATTATAGTATTTTTTAATCACAGTTATATTTTTTAGACATTTTTTCTTTCTAAAATTTCAATTTAATTATTGGATTTGCAATAGTTCTTCAAATAGTTATTTTACAAATTTATGTTTATTCATTTGCATTGTGTACTTTAAGCATGGTTACTGATATAAATTTTTTAATTTGATTTTTTTTTGAAAAATTTTAATAGAACTTTCAAAAGAATACCTTGTCACCTAGTATTTGTCATGATGCATTTGAAAACTGCATTTTACATTAAAAGAAAAAATACCATAAAGCATGGTTAATACGTCTTTCAATGGGTCATTCAGGAAAGATATATAAAAGAGATAGTTGTATTATCTAAATTTTAATTTAAAATGATATGCATACAAACAATTTTCCATGGTTTCATCATTGTGCCATTGCTTTACACAATTTTATCACATTTAGTTTGTTAAAATATTATCCATATTTCAAAATTTACATCTGACATTGCATTTAACATACATTTTGACCTGTGCGACTATAAATGCTGCAAATAGTGTAGAGAGAAGATCCTTACGTCAATTCATTTAGTGATGCAGTCAGTAATAACTAAAGGATGCACTGCAGCTCAGGGCACTATTTAATATGAGTACTTTTTCTTACTGCATGAATTCCTGGACAATCAAATACATGGAATGGAACATAACTGCAAAGCTTATACTTTGGTCAGGGGTAACCATACACCTTATTATTTTTTTTAATATATGTCTAAAAGGTTGTAATGCCAACTTCTTTCTACTGCATTTTATATGACATTTCCCAAGTTTTTATTCAAGCTTATGCAGAAATATTTTAAAATATGTGAGGCATGACAAAATTTTAATTTTGCAAAAGTTCTTGGCTGCAAATTCATTCAAGTTATATGAGTTTTTATGACACTCCTTAAATTTTCCTTCCAGTGTATTTATTCATTCAGTATATTAAGAGAAAATATCATTTTTGTTGATTTACAGTGTATTAAAATGTTGCTTGATTAAGACTTCTGTGGCAAAGCTTGATTCATAAAATGCGAGGGACACTTCCTAAGTTTTAAACCTAATTATACCGAAATACTTGTGAGGTACTGAAATAATGACTTAGACAAAAGTATCATTCAAAGATGATCATAGACTAGGCCACTGTGTGAGTGTTGCCATTGAAAAATTTGTGCCATGACTGTTAAAACATGCATTTCCATTGAAGGTATGTATGCTTGAGGTATATGTGAATGAAAATAAATAAGTGACAGTTTCTCAGACTGCTGTGGAAACGGGCATCAGTGTTGGATCAGTTGAAAAAATGATCTTGAATGAAAAGTCGTGGTGCAGTGAGGGAGATTATATGCCTCTGGGTGTGCATTTTGCTGCACAGGATATTATATGAAATCTTTACTTGTTTCCGGGCTCTGAAAACCTTAGTTATGCCTCTGATGAAAAGCTGAGAATGTTGTAGGTCTGTGCCAAATAGATACCTAGAACATTGATGCCAGAAATGAAAGAAACATGGATTAATTATTCTGAAGAACTTCTCTTCATGATAAATACAAAGGAAAATTTATATTTATGACTGATGTCATAGGAAAGAGACATAGCATCTTGAAATGAAGCAGGCATGGTATGGAAACACCATGGTTATTCTTATTTCTAAAAGTTCAGAATCCAGAAATCTTTTGGGAACCCTTTCTTTTAACAAAAATCAACCACTGCTTATTGATTATACACTTCATAAAATCACATCAAAAAACCACTACTTATTGATAATATAATACATAACTGCATTATTATGCTAATTTGTTGAGTCAAATCCAATAAGCTATAAAATACCATAGCAAGTTCAGCAGAAAATCATTGCTTTTGCTTGATAGTGCTTCATTTTCAAGGGCAGATTAACAATGCAGATTTATGTTTCTTCCCCATCCACTATATTGAGGGACTTATTTCAACATCTGAACTTTTAGTTCCTCACCATATTGAACTGGCATTAAATGACTTATTTTTATCTCAAAAGCTGAAGTTGTTTCATGGTTCACATTATACTGATGATAATTTGATGGTTGCCATTCAGGAATGATTTGAAGGCTATGATGAAACACTTTTTTTTTTCCTGTTGTAGTCCAGTGCTTAATGAATTACTATATAAAGTGCATTCAAGTCAAGAAAATAAATATATGTGGGGGGGGGGGAACAAGGCCTTTAGTTGAGTAGATATTTTTGCAAATCGGCTTAAAAAAAAGTGTGAATGGAAAGTTAGTGATGCATGTTTTAAAATTTTAACCGTATTTGTTTAATGCATGATCCCTTTTGAGATTTCCTCTGTGCTTTGTACTCTGTAATACATGTGCTTTGAAACAAACTGAAATGGTAATTTAAATAAATCAATATAGTATTTACTCTATTTTACACACACACATCTATCTTAATGCTGTATTTGCATGGCTGTTTTATACTTTAATCCTCAGTGTAAATATTATTGCTAGTCTTTTCAAAAAATAATTTTAGAACATGTACTGCCTTTTTGGTCATGATGTGACCAAACTGTGGCAGCACATGGTTTCTTCTAGTATGACAATATTTTGCCACAATACGTTCTGTTCATCACAAAGTTCTGTCTGGAAATTCTTAGAATATTTTAAGAGAAGATGGAATCCAAGACCTGAATTCTTTGTCCTTCAACATCATTGCTTGATCTTGAAAATAATCCTCTCATATTAATTCAGAGTATTTTAGAATGTTCTCCATCATCTAGTGCTGTCAATGCCACAGTATGCAAATTATCATCTCGAAAGAAGACCCTATACCTTGCCAAATATGAGACCATAACTATTTTTCTGATAAGTATGTATTAGTTACACATGTAACTCTCTGTTTTATGTATTTATTCTTAAAATATGTGCTGAAAGATTCTATTCAATAGTAAATTCTTTGGTTTCATGCTTAACAATTTCTACTAATTAGTTGAACTTCTTGATGTACAATCATTTAGACTGATTTAGCTATAATTTATTTTTTGGATACCTGTTTTGTATATTGTCTATAAATTCAATGTCAGATGATGTTAAAAATTATCATCTGTTAAGCATATTTAAGATTAAAATATTTCATTGAATTATATTCTTGAGTTACTTGTATTTTGAAGTAACTCGTGTTTTCTCACTTGCATGCTTTAATTCTATTTTCTTTTACTGGCAGTCAAAATTTTAAATTTTTGGGGTGCATTTTATTTTGAATGTAATATTAGTTTATTAACATAAAATTAAGTTTATCAGTACTTTTCTAGAGGAATACATTGGAAACAAGTTGGAATCTGCAGGTAACAGATTTTTCATGAATTTTAGAAGAATGGATAATAAGAAAGAAAAGGATTGTAAAGATGATATTAAACCAGGTAACTTCTTGATATTCAGGTACCCATTCCTGAAAATCCTTCAGGTAACCATTCCTGAAAATTTTCAATAAAAAATGTGAAGGGAAATTACTGTGAAGATTTAATGTTATTCATTTTTTTTTTTGAGCAATTTCGGGGAATCCCTAGGTTGAAATAAAAGAGCGCTAAACCAAAACAGCACTAAACGGGGTCTTACTGTATACTGAAATGCATTTACAGATTAGTAATTTTTTACATCATATGTAATTTTTATTTTATCTAGAAAGTATATGAAATACTGTACATAAATAAATGCAATTATTTAACCCGTTTGTTAAAATTTTCCTTAAGAGATTTGACAGATTATTTGTCTTCAAATTCGATTTTAGCTATTAAAGAAGGTTTGTTTGTAGAATAATCAGTCTAATTATTAAGCTTTTTTATTTGAATCTGAAGACTACAGCTAATGTTTCAAAATCAATACCTTCATTGTTGCCTATTGTACTGCTGCAATAGGCACTCGCACTTAACTCACAGTCCTTGCTTAATGTGCCATTAGCCATCTAAGTATTTCTTATCTGATGCTGTTTTTCTCTCAGATTTTCAGTTATTTTCTTAAATGATGTTTCAGGCACTGTAATTGTTAGCACTTATTATTTGTAATTATTTTTATACTAAAGGTAAATATGTCACATCAGTTGCAGCTGAATGATTACTATATAATTATGCATGCGTTTTATTTTTGGCCTTGTTGAAAAAGCTTAAATAACAGTTGTAACAGACATAAATTAATGTTTTCTGCAATCATTATAATTAATCTAAATGTTTGAATCAGTTAATTTAATCCTAAGCAGTATACAAAAACAAATTTTTTGGTTGCTATAAAATTAATATATAATAATTTTTTTAATTATTTAATATTTCTACTGGAAGTTTAGCTTTATTTATTAAACTGTTTTTCATCACTTTTTTATTTAAATATTTCTATTTGACAGTTAATCAGAAATGAGTAAAACATTAAATTTGCATCTTTTTTATAAAATTGAATTGACTGTTATTGGAATACAAATTTTTAATGAAAATTCTTTTTTTAAATACAGAGCAAAATATTCCATTATTTCTCATTCCAATATTACCATTATTTAAATGTGAATTCTAAAATAATAAATATCAAGACTTCAAGAGTATATTAAATGTTGCAAGATAAAACTATATAGAAATGTGCAAATAGCTAAGCTGGAAAACTAACTTTTTTTTTTTTTTTTTACTTCCGTTAAATATATTGTGTTAAATGAGTTATTCAACATAGTTTAAAATTTGATTCATATTTGCTTAACTTGTTTTGAAAATTTTGAACCTGAGTAATAAGGTGAATCAGAAAATAAGATGCATGGTTGAATCACTAAAACAAAAATTGTTGACATAAGGACAAAATAAAGGACTCTTTTTCCCTAAACGGATTATAAAATTGATTTAAAATGGATTCAAAAGAGATTTTTTCGTGACATATGTACGCACATACATATGTATGTATGTATGTATCTCGCATAACTCAAAAACAAGTAACCTCAGAATGTTGAAATTTTGTATAAGTATGTAGTTGTGCACCTCCCTCTTTGGTCGCAAGCAATCACACCAAAAGTATATATATATATATATACCCATTTAGATACTCGGCTCGGTGAGCTCAGTTTTTTAAAATTCTTATGTGTCGGTAAATTGTGCATTTTTGTTGATTGAATTGTGTTAATTAAGAACACGCCGAATAAATACTAATTCAGAAGTCAAACAACAAAAATCAATTTTGTAAATATAATGCTGATTTTTGTTGTTTGACTTCTGAATTGTGTTAGTCTTACCTTCCAATTAAGGCTTTTAATATGAATGCAATAGATGTAGAATTATCAATAATTTAAAAGTTGTTTAAGTGCAGCTTTTGTTTATCATAGCAGCCAAATTTGTTTACATTTGGAATTCAGCAGAATATTGAATTAAGTCAGCTTCTGCATCTTCAGTGCTTTTTTTGCTGAGTAGGACCAAAAGTAAACTTTTAGTTTTGTGCACTGAAAAATCTGCCTTGTTGCCAGCTGGTCAAATTGCTTGTTTCTGCATAGAAACTCTGATTTTAATTGCGAAAAATATTTTTTAATTGTTTTAACTGTATTTAGTGTTTTTCTATATTTTTCCATTTTTAATGAAGATATTTTTAGGTTTTATGCATTTGCCTTACTGAAAAGTGAGAACTGAATTAATTGAATGAGAAATCTATCTTTATTGAAATCTGAGGAAATAAGTTTAAATGAAATGCAGTACAAAATACATTCTTGTACAAGGAAGTCGTGGTATCCACATCAAATTTTTTATTTAACTTCGCAGAGAATAATAATTTTAAATGAAAAAGATTCCCTTAAAATATACGTTAATAATTTATATGCATGTAAGTTTTTTTATTTAGATTATTACATATAGTTTCTAACATATTATTGTAATATGAGGTAAAATTATAAAGTTTTTCTTTCTAATTTAGGTGAAGACTTTCTGATGCTTATCCAGCTACCTACTTGTTTGCCATTTAAAAAAGAGGAAGAAGAATTGACTGATAATGCTGATAATAAAACAGAGGATGAATCTACTAAAGTATTCTTTATTGCTGTTTGTAATCATTTTCATGTATTTTTATGATAAGAGTTGATTATTGAAGAAGCCCGGTGGCGCAGTGGCTAGCACATTGCGCAGCAGCACCACAGGTCCAAGGTTCGATCCCCGGGCTGGGCAAGGTCGACTCAGCCTTTCATCCTTTGAGTGGGTCGATAAAATGAGTACCAAGTTCACTTGAGGACTAAACACCGGTGTTCTTGCTACAACTGACCACTTGTCCAGGGCATATGTTCATGCACCCAGGGCCCACGGTCAGGAAAGCAGCTATAGGAGCACTGCAGGCCTTGGCCCACTAGGGCTGTTATGCCACTGAGTTTAGTTTTTAGAGTTGGTTATTGGTTTCTTTTGTTAAATGCAATATTCTATGGTTAAAAAAAATTAAAACTTAAGCAGTTTTCTTTTAATTTTACCTTTTTCTGCTAAAGCAGATTTTTTAAAAAAATTCTCCAATAATTTTTATATTTCGGCATATTATGACAATTGTAGAAGCATATTAAATAACATAAAACAATTACAAAAAGGATCTGTAAAGTGAAAGAAATACTACTGTAAATTTTAAGTATTATTTTGAAAAATTTGTTTATATAAGTTCTAAAAAAGACAGTCTTCATTTGAGGATAGATGGTCTTAAGACTCTCCTTACTCAATTTATCTCTACTAAAGTGGACATATGTGATCAAATAAAAACAACTGTAGTGATTCTAGCAGAAAATGGGTCAAATTATCAGTTAGAATGGCTTTTCAAAAATGTTTAGGAGTATTGCTTTCCATTCTTTTTTAACTACTTTTGAAAGTCCATCAATTGTGGTATCTCTGCATTTAGAAAGAGCCCTTTCAGCAAACCAAAGGTATAAAAGTCTGTAGGAGAAATGTCAGAAGACAAGGAAAATAACTACAGAACACTAATAGTTCAACTCAGGCTTAAGTATGATCAAATGAACTGGCTGCAAAGGAACATTTATTGTTTTTCTCCATGTGAAATGTCTATCTGCAAGTCTGTGGCTCTTAAAGGCATCTCATTCCTTAGGCAGATGGTCTTAATATGTTTTGCCATAATTTAAATATGTCAGAAATGTACGCATGCAGTGCCTGCAGCAATCTTAATTTTTTCAAGGAATGCCAGCTCTCAAAGAGGTATTCACCACTTGGTGTAACAGTGACAAGTGTCGTGTAATTTTGGTGATAACATTTAAAAATAAATACCTTTTCATTTTCTTTTGATCCAACCTTATATATTATAAAGGAGTTTAAAGCAGAAAATTGGAAAATGTAGTGCAGGTTTTGGATTTAAGTCATCAATACTTTAATGGATATAAAATGCAAATGGAAATAAAAAATTTGACCAAACAGATCAGTTTAGAAATCTACTAAATTTTCATTTTATTTTTTATTACCATTCTTGTATTAGGTCAGTCCATAAATTTGTGCACATTTTTTGGTAAATTTTTAATAATATAAAAAACATAATTTAACATTTTAATCAATTATATATTTTCCTCCATTATCTACAATGTCTCACCATCTTACAGGCAGGTTTTTTATGCCATTGCTGTAGAGACTCTGATTTCGATGGGGGGGGGGACTTGAAAGTTCATTGTGTAAATCCTGTTTAGAATTAAATTTTTTTCCCAGTGAAAAATTTTGTAAGGCTTGAAATAAGTGAAAATCACTAGGGACAATATCTGGGGAGTAAGCAGGATGTGGCAAAAGCTTCCAATTAAATTCACTCATTTTTTGCGGCGTTGTTCGAGCCGTATACAGTCTAGCGTTATCATGATGAAACAACACTTTCTTGATATTCACCCATCGTGGGTGTTTTTTGATCAATTCTGAATTTAGACGGCAAAGTTGTTCACTATAAACTTCTGAATGAATCGTTTGATTTGGTTCTAACAGTTCAAAACGTCCTGAACGGGGCTTATCGTCAATGCTGCTTTTTCCAACTTAAAATTTTTTGAACTATTTCTGTGCAGCCCTTACACTGTGTACACTATTAATTTTTATCGCTGCAAACCTGGCAGATTCACCACACGAAAATAAAAATGTAGCACGGCACATTTGTACTGATTATCTATATTTATCTTCTATGGGTACTAAAATGCGTTCGATATTTACAAAAGTTGGTGATAAATTGAATAATGTGTTAGTCAAACGATGAAAAGTTTCAACAGGTTTAAAATTGTATTGTTTTAGTAAATGCGTCATAGCGAATTCCACGCATACTCTTAATGCGCACAAATGTATGGGCTGACCCGATACAGTTAGGTTCTGTTCTTTTAGTAGACAGCTTGAAAGAAGACACCTGTCTCATTTGATTGAGTTTAAGTGTGACATGGCTAATAAGGAACATATTTCATCATGTATAATATGTTCATTCATATCATGCAAAATGGATTATACATATAATACATTTAAATGTGTTCAACACAGTGTAGTTCCCAAAATTCCCTGATTTTCTATTTACCTTGCTTAATAAGAATATTGTTAAAATGACTGATGGTTTATTTTAGTAACTATATTTTCTCCCCTTCAGATGGTGAATTCAAAACCAGACTGGGATGCTATGTGCGAGGGTCATATAGGTAAGCTACAAATTTTGAAATCTGGCAAGATGCTGTTATCCTTAGGATCAGTTAAATTTACTTTAGAAAATGCATCTCCTTCAGACTCACTATGGGAAGTTGCTTCTGTGCATATCCAAAATGAAAACTGTGGTGACATTTCAATTCTTGGGAAAATAGAACAAAAGTTCACTGCTCGTCCTTTATTGTAGTATATCAAATGATAACAACCTAAGAATTCTTTGAGAAAAATGTAAATTGAACTCTCAGAAAATTATTTTTGAAATGTTAAATGAATTCATTGTAATTCCACTGCATTACTGGTATAAAAGTAAATGTATAACTTTAAAATTTAAAAAAAATTCTAAGATTTGTATCTGTAAATTATTTGTCTTGTTTAAATTTAGTAGCACTTTTCTACTTTGCTTTATTTTTGTTAATACACGGCAATGTAAGTCACAATTGCTAACTTTGTAAAAGCCATTTTTTCCTACTTGTCTAATTTGTTTATTTTTTTTAATTTGAAATATTGTATTTTCAAACAGTTTTACATGTGGCCTGATTATCATTAATGGAATGAGCTTTTATTTAAAAAATCATGATTTAATAAGAAACTTTACAGAAGCATTATACCATGATCTTTAACCCTTTCACCCCTGGATTGTTTTGTATATGTCTCCCCCACACAAGAAAATGTCTACGAAACATTGTTTATAGGCGTTATAAGAATTCCCTTCTGACATATTAACAAATTCTACTTGAGTTTTAGAAACTAGGCTGTAATGGCAATTGCTACCCTCAGGTCTCAAGATAAACATTCATAAAAATATAAATATAGACTGCAATATCTAGTTGTTATGAAATTTTCCTGCCAAAATCATTCTTAATAAAGTTAGAAAATAAAACTTGAAAGCAGTACCATCAGCATGAATAGTAATCACCACCCAAATCTATGATTTTCTGCCAATGTTTAGGTAATTTTTCAAAGCCCAGAAACTTGGTGGGCTTGAGTCCAAAACCAGAACAATTTCATTTTGGACATCCTGTGCAGAATGGAAGATGGCACGAAAAAGCTGTCTCTTTTTAGGTGTGAAAAAGGAAGTACGAAGGAGCAAAGTTGAGGCTATATGGTGGCTGTGGCAAAAAATCCCATCTCAATATATTTTTTTACAAATTTCACAACGCAGTGTTCTAAAGCAAGCCTTTCTTTCAAATGCCCAAAATTGTTTGACAGAATATGATTAAATACACTAGTGCAAATAGTTTGTGCAGACGATATTTGTGGTAGCGGGAAACTTTCGTTAAAACCCGATATTTATAGCATTTATTGTATAGGGAATTTTTTGAAACAAATTTTTGTTGAATGAAGTGATACTTCACATTTTTTACAGTGGATTCTGGAATGTCCTTCGCAAGTTTCCAATTTGCAATGCTATTCGTGTCCATCTTTATTCATTAGCTAATGTTGTCACATACAGGAACTGCATGAAGCTTCTGATGTTTTGCTGGATGACTTCATAGGACAGGAGATAGCTGTGTGCATTCTACCTCATCTGGATGACGCTTTGACAAAGAACTCAAAAATGCTGAACTGCCTGCGATTGTCAGTGAATTGTAGTAAATCCATTCAACACTCTAAGCTACTGTAGAACATATCTTACTACCGAAAATATAGATTTCTATATATGAAGGTGGCAAATGCCATCAGCAGGGTCGAGAGTATTAAGTTTCCACTTTCCCAGAGAATTCTAAAAAATTCAAGAAAAACTGGAACTTTTCCCATAAAGTTAAGGAAGATGGGATGGGTTCAGAGTGTACCCAGTTCTTGCAAATGATAAAAGTTCATACAATAGAAAAATTAACTTCTTCAAAACAAGAACAAAGGAAAAATTACTGTAATCTTTACAGAAAGTATTTTACCTGTCTCGCATTTGGTATTATTTTATTGATTCACAGTATTCTTCATGTGTGCCAAGTGGTTAAAGACTGCTGAATGTTATTCTGAGTTCGAATCAAGACAAATGGGCTATATGATTGACTATATGATTGGTTTTCCCCATGTGTAATATACATACGAGTCAGTTTCCCATGTTATGTCCTTTCTCTCTCCTTAGGCACATAATCCTCATAGCTTCACCATATTCAAATTACTAAATAAATACCCAACCACCTGTTAGTGAACTGTTTAGAAAAGTAGCTATTCTAGCACCTCTCTGCTGAAATGTAACTGTCTGTCAAAAACGGTGTAGTTACTATAGTGTGGAGCTGTACATACTAATAACTAATTATAAAGTATCACTTTTTTACTCCAGTATCATTTTGAGACACCAAAGAAATAATATTCATTATGAATATACTACTGTTGTAAATCCCCCTCTCAGAGTTTCATATTTCTTTTAGAAAACCCTACATACACTTTCGAATAGTTAGACATGAATATTTTTCAGTTTATATTTCCTTTACAAATAATACACATTTTTTATAATTTCCTTAGTTTTCATGTTTTATATTGTAGTAAATGCATAAAATTATTGAATTATCCATACTTAATTTGATAAATTATTCTTTATCTTTGGTCATGAAAAGTTGGAGAAATTAAAACTTGAATTTTAGTAGGAAATCCCATTTAAGGTTCCTTTAAAATAATAATAAACCATGATTCTTACTTTTTTATATAAAAAATGACACACTTTATTATTACTTTAATTTGTTTGCATTAGCATTATCTTTACAATTTATCCATGACTGCGTGTCAATCCAAAAATAATTTGTATTTTGAAGTTTAAATAAACAAACATAAATTGTTAAACCACTGCTTCTTAATGAGGTTGCCATGAGGATGCACACAGATCTAAGAATTTTTTTTAAATAATGATTAAAACAAGTGTTTTTTAATAACATATATCCTTTATAAAATAACCAATTCTAATTAGCAGCCAAACTGCATCCAAAGGTTGTTTTGTAGATTCCTCAAGTATATTTGCTTGGTGATCAGATATTCTTTTCTTAGTACTATCATATAAGACAGGGTTCTCAACAAGGGGGAATTTCACAGTTTTATGGGGAATCCAATAAGCCTTTGATTTAGCTGTTAAATATTTAGTTTATGAATATAAAGAATACTTTTATTCAAGTTTTGGTATATATCAAAATACACTTTTTGATATTCAGTTTATTAAATTTGTTAAAATATCATCAGAATCTAGATGACTACATATATTAATGTTTTGAGTTTTGGGAAAAGGAAGAGACAAACTGTACTAATGTTTTATCACAATTATAGTTTTTGGTTATACATGCACTAAGCTTACATTTGAATTTTTTTAAGTACTAAGCATCATTATAACATGAGGCATGCATTTAAAATGTCCAACTCCAGTAAACAGCATCCATAATCCACTTAGTTAAGACTGTCAGGCTCAGTTTGCTCAGTGGAAAGATATTACTTAGGTTTAATTACTATCATGTAAGAGGATGATGGAGTTACAGGATTATTCAGGCTTACTTTTTCCTTAACAATCACATTGCCACCTTGAAATGAAAGAAAAATATATGTATATTCAGCAATTTATTAATAACAAGCATACTATATTATACAGTAAAAACACACAAAAGATTTCGTACGTATAGATTATAGAGCAAAATGAAACTCAACAAAAGCAAAGACAATTAACATATTACTCTGGTATGTATTATTCCAATGACCATGAAACTGTCATCAAGTAGTACCATTTAGTGCCAATTAAGGATAAGCATGACATCACACCAGTTATATCATCTGTTATTTAACCCAACTGAATCTAAATGAGCCACCTTTTTTTTTTTTTTTTTTTTTTTTTTTTTTTTTTTTTTTTTTTTGTGTCTTTATGAACAAGAATATAAGTTAACCTGCTGTATTTTTCCCCTTGAATTGAAAGAAAAAAAAAAGGGCTGTAGAATCACATGTGTGACCAAACTCTGGGTTATCTGCAGTTTGTTTAAAGGAGATGGACAAGTAAGGTTAACAAAAACATGTGCTATGTAGCTCATGTGCTTGCTTTTAGTTGATTTAAAATTAAGACTAAAGTTTAAAAAAAAATCTGAAGGGTTTAAGATTTTAAATTAGATCAAAATGTGCATTTTTTTAATGTTTTGTGTGTTACCTTTATTTATTAAATTTTCACAAAATAATTTTAAAATGAGCATATCTTTAGAATTTCTGATACACAGTCTCATGCGCTGGAGATAAAAATGTTTTTTCTGCACAACGTTGCCATTGCTCACTTTGAAATCCTTGAGTTTGTTAATCACTAATTCATTAAAAGTTTTACAAAATATAAAACCGATAATAAAACAAAATTTGGGCTTCCATATTCTATAGAAGATTGTTATTTAATTTTGATGGCTCTAGATACCATTGTTTTATCACAATGTGAGAAACATACATACATTCATGCAGTTCTTCATTATTTAATTTCTTTAAATATAATACGGGGCGATAATATCTGGTGGCAATAATTTGAAAAGTGAAACAACGCTTATTGTGAACCGACATAAAATGCCAAAACGCTATTGGTAGTCCTTCTGCACAAATCGCCCCTTTGGATTAAAAAAGCTACAAAATATATATATATATATATACAGGGTGATTATAATTAAAGTTTAAGTTTCAAAACGCTATAAAAAAAGAACCACTCATGAAAATGACGTCAAATTTGAAAGGAATGTTATTGAAGAAGGCGGAAAGCGTATGGCAAAAGAAAAAATTTAGTTTCAAAAGTTAGCAACAGATGGCGCTGCAAGCAGAAAAAGACGTAAATTAAAATGTTAGTTAAATTTCAGTGTTATAAAGCCGTCAGGTACCAAGCTGTTCCTCATTTTGCGTCTCAGACGTTCGCCATGGGTGTTTCACTGCAGGACCGCGCTCTGCTGGTAAAGCTGTATTACAAGAATGATGATTGTGCAAGAGTAGCTCTGCAAAAATTCAGGACACTGAAGGGTATAAAAGAAGGCATTGGTTCAATGAGTGTCGTAGGTCTAAAGAAAATGATGATGCAAAAATTCGAAACGACAGGTTCGTTTGATGTGCAGTCTGGTAGAGGGAGAAAACGAGTGCATTCGACGGTAGTTGAAGAAGTGGCCCCAGCATTACAGGAGGGGTCGGCCGGTGGTGTGCAACCGTGCAGTGCACGAGGAATTGCCCGAACATTGGACAGGCCTACGAGCACGGTGCTGAAAATTGTACGAAACATCCTGCAATGCTATCCGTACAAAATTGGCTATGTGCAGGAGTTGCTTCCGTCTGACCTGACAGCTAGGGAGACGTTTGCGTTAGAATTCCTGGCTCGCATGGAAGTGGATAATGAATGGCCGTGGAAAATTTTGTGGACAGATGAAGCCCCATTTTTATCTGACACGATACGTGAATACCCAGAATTGTCGAATACGGAGCAACAGAAAATCCGATTGGCAACACACCCTCGTACCACTTCACTTCATTCTGAAAAGATCACGGTGTGGTGCGGCTTTACGGCATTATTCATCTTACAGCTATATTTTTTCGAGCAGACGGGTGCTTCCGGTCCTGTTACCGCAACCGTCACTGGTCAGAGGTATGCGTCTCTTTGCGCAACCACGTGATTCCAGCTCTGCAACAGCATGGATGTGTGGATGAAATCATTTTTATGCAAGATGGCGCTCCTCCGCACATTGCACATCCCGTGAAGCAGCTGCTGAGCGCCATTTTTCGGAAAGCTCGAATTATCAGCCGTCATTTCCCTACAGCCGGCCGTCCCGATCGCCTGATCTTACTCCGTGTGATTTCTGGCTGTGGGATATCTGAAGGATGTTGTGTTCCGTGCTCCAATTGCAAATTATGCGGAATTAAAGGCACACTTTCACGACACATTCTGAACATCACCCCGAGACACTGCGATCCGTTGTGGAACATGCTGTTTGTCGCTTTCAACTTGTTGCACACAATGGTGGACACCATATTAACATGTTTTGCACCAGTCTCGCGACAGTTCCGAACTTCTTTGATGATGGTTCTTATGCGGTACGTCGCCGCAAAACTCTTGAAACCGATTTGGTCCTTTCGATGTGATATGTACAGTCATGGCAAATAAAATAATTCAACAATTCTAATTTATCAATACGTTTTAATGTGTAACTTCCACCTTAGCCGTTGTTTTACGAATCATTTCTCGTCATGATTCTGCTGCTTATAGCGCCATCTGTGGCTAACTTTCGAAACTAAATTTTTTCTTCTGCCATACGCTTTCCGCAATCTTCAATAACATTCCTTTCAAATTTCACATCATTTTCATCAGTGGTTCTTTTTTTATAGCGTTTTTAAACTTAAACTTTAATTATAATCACCCTGTATATATATATAAATGCCCTCTTTATAGAAGAATTTGGTACTTTTGGCAATGTCTCGGTCAATACCAGTAGTACCATTAACTTTTTTAAATTCTTCTCTATACTAAAAATTCATTATCCTAACTAGAATTAAAACTGCTTCCAAGAGTAAATATTAATTAAAGGATTTATATTTCTTTGTACCTAATGTATAAAAATTAATATTTTAGTTACCTTGTGATTTTAAAATTATGTAACCCCCTTCCCCAAAAAAGGGCAGTCTTGGTTTAAAGTACATTTTGAACAAAACTATCCATTCTGAGGATAGTAGACATGGATTTGTCTTCTTCAGGATCAAAACTGAAAGGAGCAATTATTATTTTATACCAAAAGCAACGGTTGGAGCAAAGAAAAATGAATGTAGTGCCATTTGCACAGGAAAATAGTAATGAAACATGAAAAAATATTAATTCTGAAAGTGTTATGGAGAACTGGATTATAATTACCACAATATCAAGACAATGAAGTTCCCCAGCATATCCATATACTTGGACTGCTAAATGTCATTGTGCACCTGAGTGCGTTTTGCAATTACGCCGAAGATGCACAAATAATTCCTATACAACCTGCTCTTCATCAAAACATATGGATTCTTGCATGCTAGTTAAATTTTATTTCTTATGATATAAGCAAAAAATCCTAAATACAGTTAAAAAAATTTCCAAAATATATTCAAGTGCAATCTTTAGACCTATCAGACATACAATTTTGACTGGGATTGTCCCATTTTGATGATGTGGTCTGTGTTCTAGCCAGTTTGTTCCTGTTATTTGGTAAAATTCTAAAAGTATCAAATACACAAGTAAACACAGTGCAGGCTCGAGTAAAATGGCGATTTGACAATTAAAAATCACCTCAGTTACATTGACTGCTGCCAATATAAATCTAGATCTAAGTACTTTTTATGTTGTCTAGTTCAGCGATTCTCAACCAGTGGTACACAAAAGAAAAATAGGTGGTATGCAAAGAAACAAAGTATTTTTAACTATTAAATTCAAAAATTAAATACCCCAACATCATGTTTACGTTTTTTCTCTAATACTCGTAAGTTTATGCGATCTGAGCTTTGTTCAAGGTCAATTAGCTGATCATAGACTTTAGCAAAGCATTGACTTTAAATCAATTAGCCAACAGTATTTACTTCTAACATGAGAATGTCTTTTTTGATGGCAAAATGAAATGTTTTTGTCAATGATCATGTCAGAAAACCCTCAGTTAATTATAACCAATTGAATTCATGACAAAGCAAAGATGTCAAAGAACAAATTTAAAAAAGCATGATTTATATATGCATAAAAAGAAGCTTTGGAGGAGATTTTCTTTTAGCAGAGTGACATGATTTAGAGTAAGCAGGAAAACAAAAAACAGAAAGAGGTTTATGATGAAATGTACAGATAAACAGAAACAAGCAAGCAAATACAAAAAGTTTGATGGTAAACAGCAATACTGAAATCATTTTATTGCAAACAAATTCATTGTCACTAATGTCTGGTGTTTTACTTCACAGCAATCTGATTGGAAAAATTTTCACCCATTTCACCTGCTTGGCAACATTTTCATCCTCATGGTGATATGTTTAAACACTAAGGAAATATCCCCCCTTCCATTTTGGCTTATACACAAGTTTTGAATTTTGGGTAAATTTTTAGAGAAAAAAGATAATCTCGGCTTATATTCTGAAATATATGTTACAGATTATTCAGAATTATTTTTTCATAGGAGAAAAACAAACATTAAGTAGTTCAAAGTATCTATTTTGATATGCACTATAATATCAGCAAGTGACAAAAGCAGCTGTTTGATAATAAATTTAATTTTGGCTAACATATAAGAAACTAAATTAGACCTAGAAACGCAAAATTCGTTGCTGCACCTGGAATTAAATCCTGCCAAAATTATAGAAATGAATATACAAATCACAGTTTTGCCCATGTGCTGCTTTTGGGCCTTTATTGATTTGGCCATATGATTTTGGCCAGTGATAATCTTTCTCTCTCTTGCTTTTACTGTTTTGTTCATATCTTTTCTATTTTTAGTCACAGAGATAGCAGCAGATGTCCACTAAGTGCTAGTCTGCACAGTCTATTTCGTTCTATTCCGATCGGTTCAAAACGTTGTGCCTGTTTCATGTCTTGTGCATGACTAGGTGAAGTTTAATCTCTCATGCTTAGCTTTTTGCATGTATTTTACTATTGATTTGATAACATTATTGATATTTGAGGGCAGATCTGAAAGTCTTTGTCTCTATTTTTTTAGTCAAATTACAGCTGTAAATGCAAAGTCACCACATCCTTTCCCAGCAGTGGACTGGTCTTATCTGCCAATAGTTCCACAGCACAGTGCTGTTCACATGTTCATGGTATACGAGCAACAAAGAGTGATTCATTTTCTACGCAGCAATAGACAAACGCCCAACAAAATCCACATGGAAATGCAAATCGCGTATGGGGAAGAGTATCTCGCTTTGAGAAGTGTGGGGTGATGTGCGCTTGCAAAAGGCTGTGAAGATTTGTATGACAATGAGCATTTGGAAAAGACATGTTCGGCCTGACTGATGACAACATTTCCAGCAAGGATGCAATGATGAAAGTAGATAGGTGTCTGCACCTCAAGGACATTTCCTGGACGCACAGCATTTTATATGGGAGTTTTTACAACATCCTTCATGAGCCCTTAGGGTACTGAAGGTCTGTTCAAGGCCATCTGTTGGAAAGTGATGTTAATGATCTTCTGTAATCGCCATGGACCGGCCCTGTTGGATTTCATGCCACAAAGTGCAATCATCAATGCCGAAAGTTATTGTTACATCTGTGGGCTGCCATCAGGTGAAAGCACCAGGAGATTCTCGATAGACAACATGGCTATCCTATATGACAGTGTGAGGCCATATGTGGCGAACAAAACTGCCAACAAGCTCTGAAGTTCAAGCTAGGACATGATTTGCATGCAATGTGAAGACAGCAGTCTGACAGTGATTCCATAGTCAGCTGGATGATTTCTAACATGGGCATTTCAAATTTAATGCTGTGATGGAATAAATGTCTGAACTGGTATGGGGACTATATGGAAAAATAGTGGAAGGTATGTAGAATACACCTATCCCTTGATTTGTGCAATTTCGGTAATTTTAGGTTTTTGAAGATTTAGCTAAGGCAGATATTAAAGAAATAATGGCTGATGAAGAACTAAATGAGGATGAGTTAGTTCACATGATTCATGAAACAAATAAGCACAATGAAGGTCAATGATTCTGAAGAAGAGCAATCTGGACCATGTGTTCACAGCAAGCAACATCAGCGTAGGACTTGAATTGGGAAGAAAATTAGGTAATCATCTTTTACAATACAATATGACACGAATGTTGAACGAGCTCTCCGATTCCAAAGGGAGCTTAGTAAGTGCTTAAATCAATATGAGGAATTTTATAAAGATTTAGGGAAAAAAAACCTAGGCAATTGTTAATCACGAATTTCACTACAAAGTCTTGTCGATCTGAGATCTTCTCTAATTCATCAACCATTGAAGCAGAAACTTATCTCAAGTAATGAAACTGATATCATACCAATGAAAAAGAAAAGAATAATAGTTCATGAAACTTATAATTTTTTTGATTGATTAAACTTATAATTTTTTTGAATGATCTTATACTTTCCTGATGTAAAATAAATTAAATATGTACTTCTGTTACCAACATATATTTGTTATTTTATGAACGAAGTATAACTTTATTTATTTTAAGGTGTCTTACTTTTGTTTTATGTAAATAAATAACTAAATTATGCATATTTAGTACGTTTTTTGTTTTACATAGCAAAATCCAAGATTTCGATTTACACGGTTTTGTGCGGAACCCACCTTCCGTGAAAATCGAGGGATAGATGTAGTGCGTATATTTGTAATTATATGTATGTACCTTATTTTGGTTGATAAAAAATAGAGGCAAAGACTTTTTAATTTGCCTCCACACAAGAAGTTAAACCTTTTTTTTTTTTAAATCGTAAAATATTGGCTGATACAGAAATGTATGCTGCTAATTTCTTGCAATTCAGAATCAGAATCTGAAATGTCTGTGTGAATCAGGGCAATTTTTCAAGTTTTCTTTATAACTTTCAAACTAGTGCAAAAACCATGGCAGTAAAGATACAAATTTATAGTTTCAATTGCATATTATCATTTGATGGATTGAAAGAATAATACAAGAGTAGAAGGTAAAAGGTCTTCCTGGATGTGTACCAACTTCACTAAAACTAGCTGAAAAATATTTTTATAGGCAATTTTACCTACAGAAGAAGAAAAAAATAATATGACCCACAAGACAGTGGCTATGTGTGTGTTCACTGAAGAGAAATAATAACAGCAAAAGAATTAGAAAAGAGACTTCATATTTTTGTGTGAACTGTAATAGATTCTGCCCCTCACCTTGTATTAGAATTTTAAAACATATCATACTAAATCTGATCTTCAAGGCTAAGTGACAGTAACTGCAGTAATTGTAAATAAATCCTGCAAAGTAATTATAGTTTATACAACCACAATATTACATACAACCACAATTAATAGTTTCCTACTTACAAATATAAAGTAAACAACAAAAAAAATTGGAATACAAAAATGTGACATTTTTTGGATATTTGATCCATTTGTTAAGTAAAATGTGTTTAAAAGGTTGTTTAACTGGTACACATACATAATATATGCCGTATTTGATTAAATGAGGTTAAGAAAAACTTTCATTAGAAAAAGAAGGCTATATTTTAATACTCATACCACAAAAAATCTTTATAAATCAGACAAATCACTTGAAGAGGATCAATTAAATTTGAATGTTTCTTTTATTACAATAAATTTTATCAGTTTTCAAACTTTTATTTAGCATAAAGAAATTGATCTTTCGATTAAAGTTGAATGTTCCTTTTATTACAATTTTATCAGTTTTCAAACTTTTATTTAGTATAAAGAAACTGATTTTTCCATTAAAAAGTCTACCAATGTATACAAATAACACAATAAATTAATATGCTTACCATCAAATGAATCTGTCATATATACATCTAACTTATAAAACGAACTGTCAAAAGAGTCTACCTCAGGTTGAACCTAAAATTAAATTAAATACCATAATTAAAGTAACACATGAAAGACACATCAAAATGACATATTAATAACATCACATGAAACATTAGTACATTCTGATTATCTGCATCCGCGATAAAAAATAGTCAACTGATGGGCAACTTTGTGAATAGGCAAAAAACATTTCTTTGGCTTTACTATGTTCTATTGTTATTACTGAAGTTTCAGTTTTGCTGGCATATTTGGTTGTTTACTTTGTGCGTATATTGTCTGGGTGCCTATGCATTTGACCGATTTTACTGCGCTTGCATAGGATACAGTTTTTCGAGACTGCAACTCTGCTACTAGTTTTCTTGCTTCTGCATAAGGAATATTCTAGTTATTTTAATATTTTGCACCTCCTTCTCAGTCTGACATTTTGGGAAAAGCCGAGAGAATGCCGTGTGCTCCCCTTTGCAATTTGCACGTAGTGGGCTAGAACTGCAATTTTCACTGTCATGGCCTTCCACAGAGCAATGTGAACATGTGAGTTTGCTACAACAGGACATTTTTGAGTGGCCGAATTGCTGGCATTGAAAACATCATAAGGGGTTAGGTATGTAAGGTCTTACAACGCAGTGCAAATAACTGGCATAAATACTTTTCGGCAGATCAGGCGAATTGAAAATCAGGATTACATGTTTCGCATTGATCAACTGACCTTCTTTGCCCACCTTGATCTGCCTTGCAGCACTGACATTCTGAATGGACAGCTCTGAGACAATTTCTTCTTCTGAAACAAAGAGTAGATCAGTCTCAGATATAACGCCCCGGCTGTAATTCAATGATTTGTGTTTTGTCACATTAATGTTGACTTGCCCAAGTTTTCCGAGTTTGAGAAGGGTAGCAGATTGAACTGGAGAAACTTTTTCTATGAGAAGATCTCCAGAGCACAGTCATTTTATTGTCTTTGGCTCACCAATATTCGCTTGTATAAGTTTCTATATCAGGAATGGTGACATTTTTTTTAAGTTCGCCTTTAGAGTTGGTTTATGACAAGAATAGAGTATCTTGAGAGTTGCAGTGACATTTGATTTTACCTTTTTAGATGGCACAGAAGTTTTTTTTTTTTCATTATGAGAAGCCATATTTAAAAAGAAATATGATTTGGACCCAGCAGCCCCACCCACCACAGAGCCCAACCAGAGGACACAGATTCCTGCACCAGAGCTAACCAGGTCTATACACAAACTGAAGCCCCATAGTCAGCTTTCCCGTAAGCAGGTACTCCAGAGAGCTTATCCCCAAGCCAATGTGAGGACGACTAAGGTGCCTCCCGTTTAGCTGAAGCAGAGGCCAAAACAGTGCATTGGAAAAAGTACCTTGCCCCTCAACTATTAGGACTCTCCTTTCCAGCGACACGGGTTTCCATGCACGGCAAACACATGGGCAATTTTCTCGCCACTCAAACTAGAAACAAAGGCTGTTCCAGTTTCTCAAGATTAGCCCCAACCTCTGAAGAGAAAAACCACAAGGGATAATGGAAGGGAAAAGTATCAGCTCACAGGAGAGGAGACGGAAACGAGGATAGATCATTGGGGCTCCAGGATCGTGACACCCATCTCACCATGATGATGATCCCCTGAAGGGCTAGAATACGTTGGGATTGTCACACCCGTACTCACAAAAGTTAGCCCCTCAGGGGAAATAAAGTGGCAGCCTTATTTCCCCCGAGTTATATTTTAAGTTTATATTATATGAGGAGGGTAAACGGAACAATTATGCAGAGGTAAAACAGGCCTTTATTTCTGAACCAGTACTTCCTCAACATACTTTACATTTAACATAAAGAGAAAAGAAGTAGTCAACGAGTTGAGAAGAAAGTACGTTAGTATTAAAAGAATAAATTAGCGCAAAGTGCTGCTAATGTAAACATGTAAAACATGTTTATCTGTGTTTTTGTAAACATGCAAAATATTCTATTATTTTTGTGTTAGAAAGCTAAGGCAAATAGGGAAAAGAAACTATTCAATGAGACTTGTAATTCTCCTACTTATTTGACTAATTAATTAAGTATTGAATTTACGAGTTTCAGTGAATATGTCAGAACGAAATTTGTCTTGGCTCTCTTTTATTAATTGACCAAGTATGGAGCTTCAAAACACTTTTCCCTTGACAAGTTCTGTTATGAAGCTCCAAACAAAAGAAGATTAATTTTTTGCACAATTACATCCCCCTTTTTTAAATTTCTTCATTCAACTCAATGTCTTAGTATCTTAGATTTTTTTTAATTTCTTCATTCAAATCAATGTCTTAGTATTTTAAGATTTTTGCTTTAATGTAGTTCATGTATTAATTTACTTAGTAAAATTCGTATCTTCTTGCTGAGGACTTGGATCTAACATTACTTTTAAACTTACATTTAACATACAATTATTGATAATTATAACATTCGTTTACCATAATTCCAAACAAATTTTAATACATTTTACTCTTAATTAAATTCTCATAAATTTTATTATGATTATTCAATTTCTTAAATCTTTGGTATTCCTATATTAAATTTTGACAATATTTAATATTCTCCCATTTAATAATTATTTCATTCTCAAAATAATTAGAAAAAATTTTAAATTCAGATATTTAAACAATAATCTTATTTACAAAATAATTCCAAAATTCTTAACATTAATTCAAAATTTTTCACAAAACTTGTAATTACTAATAACAATAAAAATTTAATAATCTTTCCTGAATAAAATCTTAGAATACATTTAATTTGATATTTTCATAAAGCAGTGCTACATTATATTTTCAGATTTCAAAATATGACCAATTATTGAGTAAGTTATTTATAATAATGCGGTTGGAGAGAAACTCAAGATTTTTTTTTTTTTTTTTTTTTTTTTTTTGCAGGTAAGATCAAAATACATTTTTTCAATATGTTCACTTGATTTCCTTAATGGAAACAACTCTGAGCATTAAATTTGGAACTGAAGAAATTAATCACACTTTGATACCACTTTTGATAATACAGTCAAAAGTCTTTAATCTGGACATGTCGGGACTTTGGCGATTCCGGATTATAGATCATCAGTTTGAATCTGGTAAGATGGCATGCAGAAATTATAAAATTAAAAATATGAAACCATAATTTATGAAATAAAGAGAAATTATGATCTAAAGGGTATCAAAATTTTAAAAAAAAAAGAAAAAAAAAAGCTTAATATTTATTTGTTTACTTTATTAAACATTTCTTTCAAGGCGCGCATGTGTAAAGCATACATTACGCATAATCGAAATTAGAAAATTGCAACCAGAAAACTATTTGCTGTGTATTCATGATATTTATAATGACGAGGAATTTGATTTAAATCATATCAAAGGAGTACATTGAGATGAAATACTACATTTAGTAAGGAATAATAAACTGAATACAATAAAAACATCTGCCCTGAAGATAAGGATAGTGCTGACAGATCAACTTCCAGTTCATTGTGCGCCACGACGTCCCCCCGCAGAGCAGCGTGAAATTGATAAACAGATTTCAGACTGGTTAGAGAAACAAAGGATATGTTTTTATCTAGTTTTTGCAGCAATTCCACTTTTTGTTTGATGGATATCGAAACATGCTTTCACTTTGTACATCCTTTGGTAGCTTCAGCATCGGAAATTCTTTTTGACATAATCGAAAGTTCAAGCTTACTATTATAAAATTGCTCTAACAGTCTGTAAAAAATAATAAGCCAGATCCAATTAGAAGATTAAGGAACAATGCAATCTGCAACATTAACTGAAATAGATAATTAGATAATTTTAGCTCAGCTTATACCAACCGTTATACATTAAACGTGCATGCATAAATGTATTATGTGCATGCATGAACACATTATGCGTTTAACGTTATGCATTATGTGTTAACATTTATCATGCATTATGTGTTAACGTTATGCATCGTACGTTTCTTCGCAAAGCGTTTATGCATGCGCAGAAAGTTTGTAGCTTTGAGGTCCGGATTATAGATCATTCCGGATTATGGACGTCCGGATTAAAGACTTTTGACTGTATTTCTCTTTCCAAATAAGATAAGCACTTTTGAAGGTGCCATTAAATTACTTTCATACTTGTTGAAAAACACATTGCCTTCAATAAACAATGTGTGATTGAATAAACTCTGTAATGGGAATTCCACGGACATCACATCGTTGGGCTCGAGTTTAGCTGCACCATTTTTGTAATAAGACTGCGGTTCGATGACATGATTATGAATGTGGCACAAACTTGCATTAAAATTTCAGGCGAAATGGGACTTCTCCCATGATTCACTGTGAACACAGAATGACAAAGCTGTGTAGATTTCTTTATCATTAAGAACTGGATGAATGAATTTTTCCATTGAAGTGTTGAAACACAGGTACACATCCTGATCAACTAAAAATGTAATGAAAACATAATTTTGGAAGCATTGATATAAGAACACTGAGATGTAGAAGCGCAGAAATGTTGTTTAGTGTAGATACTTGATCCATGTTAAATAAGAACAAGTCGAGCCAGATTAATTTCCTTTTTCATTTTTAAATTCACATTTGTGGCCACAATTCACTTGGCACTCCAATTGTGCCTATTTCCAGAACATTTACATTTTTGATACTATGGAAATAGAAGCGAACATTGCGAAGCATCCACGCAGCACAGAAGTTGAAGTGAAAAGTGATGCATCAATTCAGAGAAAGAAGAGAGGGAGTCAAAAGTTTCAGTTCAAGTTAGAAAAAGCTTTGGTTTACAATTATTTGATTGGGCAAGAGGTATCTGCATTATGCATTACGTAGGATCACATGATTAATTTGAATGATGCAGTTTAGATTTATAGCATTATTTTTAAGATACAGAGATGAGAGACCTTAGTGGGCAAGAATTTTGCATATTGAGCTGCAAAATTTTTAATTTAATAAGCAAGAGGAATATTAAAAAGCTAATGCTAAAAAAATACATTTGACTCTATAGTTCCTTAGCAAAAATGTAAAATCATGTCACAATTAGAAACAATATTAAAGTAGTAAAAGCTAAAACTAAATGTAAAAATTACAAATCGAGATGACTTCAAAATCAAAAATGGGAGATAAAAAATAAACAAATTTTAACGTACAAAGCATTTAAAAAAAAAAAAAAAAAAAAAACTCTTGTAAAAATTAAATGCATTAAAAATACACAGTAAATATGCACAAAAACATTGCAATAAATGGTAAATAGCTCAACTCAAGGTTTGAGCCAAATTTATCAAGCGAAAAGCAGATCAAAAACACAAATCAAGTTAATGACTACAGCGCGTTTTGTCAAATGATAATAATTGAGACTATAAACATAATTTTACAGTAACAGAATAATAATAATAATCCAGCTCAATAATCTAAAAAAGTTTAACAAATCTCAATTATATCGCCCCTTTTCCCTTCTCCTTCATTGAGATGACGCGCGGTAATATAAATTGCAAATGTAAAACTTACTATTTAATGAGAATAAGCTTTTCAAGAAAGCCTAGTTAGGTAAATGTACAGTGAAAATAAACTAGCTGAAAAGCTATGGACATGCTGTAATTTAAATTGTAAATGTAAAAGTTACTATTAATCAAGTAAAAGCTATATAAGAAAGCCTAGTTAGGCAAATGTACAATTAAAATAAACACCTAAAAAGCTATTAGTCCAAAAATAATATATATATATATGTTTGAAATGATAAAGAATCTATCTGGAACCCAAAATAAATGTCAACAAATGGTACAATTAATATGCAAACTACTGGTTTATTAAAAATGTCTTTTATAATTAATCATTATCGGGACTTGATCAACCTTTATTAACAGTCACACTTCTCTTGTACTTTTTTTTTTTAATTTACAATTTAATAACAAATTTAGTAGTTTAATAATTCATGCAGCATAAAAAAAAATATATATATTTACTTACAACTGGCATATTAGGAACTGTGTGAATCCTGCAAGCATTCTGCAATTCCTCAACAGGATCATAATTCATGGGAAATTTAATTTCATCCATCGGTATGTCAGAAGTGACAACTGGAAGTATAAGTTTTTTTTTTTTTTAAAGAAAATTTAGGCAAGGGCGAAAAAGTATCAAATTATTATACAAACAGAACTGCTTCAACAAGATCACTTGTTAAACTGCTTGAATTAATTTCTATACAAGGTTATTAATTTTATTAATTATATTAATGTTGCAAAGGATCTAGGGGCTTTTCTTTGTATAAGGGAGGGAAGAATTTTCTATGGAGAAGCAAGCTTATATTTACAATAATCACAAAAACATGCAAGTTGTCAGCCCATTCCCTACCGAAATCACTAAAATTTGCATTGAAATTTTAAAAATTTGGTTTTGTACTTTTATATCTGTTGCCAAAAATTGAAATTTATTGCCACAAAACAGGCTTCCAGCTCTAGGGGATTTTTTTGTAGGGGGGGAGGGAAGAATTTTCTATGGGCTTATATTTACAGTAATCACAAAAACCTGCAAGCTGGTAGCCCATTCCCTGCTGATAATTAATCTCAGGCTTTTAGTCAACTATGCTCCATGGTAATAATAATAATTACTAAAATTTGTTTTGGAATTTAAGATTTAGTTTTGTATTTTAACTGTTTTGTAGCCTCAAATTGAAAGTTATTATTTCTATGATGAATATTGTGTGATACAAGGAGAAATTTGAGTGTTACATCAATAATAAACAAATTTCATTGCATTAAGGCATAATGCATTAAAATCTATGCCAGTACACAATAAAAATCTGTTATGTAATTTCAGGTAAAAATACAGGATATGAATGAAGAATATAGTATCTTTTGATGAAAATCAAATTTTCTTTCATGGTTTCTGAAAAGAATTGTTCAAAGTTCAATACTTTTTTTAATGCAATTGTGTTGCCCTGTTTTTATTTAATAAAATGATAGTCTGCCTATCCTTAATTCAAATTTTGAATTAATACGGGGAAGTATTAAAGCAAGGATAATATTTGATTTTCATAAATGAAACATTATCAGTACTTTCTGTTCATTTGCTTCCAGAGCTTAAATTGCAGGGTAGCCTGGTTCTGGTACTTTTCAATTTCTGAGGTAAATCGTAATTCTATCTGGAATGCACCGGTGCTCTAAATAAAAGGGCTCCAGCATTTCTTTTGTGTAAGTAAATCACAGTTTCAATGCCCAGTTTTATTTTAAAAGTAAATATGCCTTAAAATTGTTCTTCCCTAATGTCCAATTTCCAAATGCACACTTGTTTTTCTCTAGGGAACAAACACTTTTATGGAAGATTTTAGCCCTGTTTGCTTCTGAATGAAAGTTGGCAATTCATTAGTGATTTGTACTTTAAATCTCACAGTTAATATTCTATCTAAAAATAATTATTATAAAAAGAAAACATTTTATAAGAAACAAAGTATTTATGACAGAAAATTAAAATTCATAGGATTGACATTTATATTTTTCAGATATAAAATGTTGATGATATGAAATGTCTGATGGATAATGTTTAGTGAAATAATGAATGAATATAATATAAAGCGTGTAATTATATAAGTGTTCAAACATGTGTATGGTAAATTACATATGTGGGTTGAATATTGCCATATGTATACTAAAAATGTGCCCAAAATAAAATCAAAAAGCACAAAATTACTTTCTCTCAGATAGGTAAAAAGAGATAGAAAAACTTTTGGGTTAATACAGGCCCTAATTAATTCAAATTTTATATTTACTTCAAATCTGAATTAATATTAATCATGGGAGGGGTTGAAGAAACATATTTTTCGCAAATGATGCAGAGCTAATTTTAAATATGACACTATTAAACTTTTTTTGCAAACAGTTGTTTTATTTTTATGTGTATTCATTTATATGCATTTCACATTCACATTTATTTATTAGGTTTTTAAACTTAAGCCATAACCTACAACCTTTAAATGTTAAAAACTGGGAGATTTTTTACTTTAATTTACTTTATTACATGATTCAGGTTATTAAACTATTTATAATTCAATTCTGATGTAAAATATATTAGCACTGAATAGGCCATTCAAAGTTCTTTTGCTAGTTTCATTTTTTTTTTAATTCTTTTCTTACACTTTTATATAAAACACACACACACAAAAGAAGAACAGAAGCTTTTGTTTAACAGAATACTTTTAAATATGTTGAAAATGAAATAAATAATTTATATATATATAGTTTGTGTGTATAAACTTAGGAATGTACCACATACTGAATTAAAAACAAATTAAATACAGATATTAACTGATTAAACATTGCTTGAATCTTCATATAAAAATCTACAAATATGCACTACAAGTGCCTACAGTAGATTAAGACAACTTACATTCAATGAAATTTAACCAGACAGAGACCAATAAAATGCAATAAGGGGGAAAAATACAATTCAGATGAAAAAAAATTAATGAGAAAAATTATTCTGAAAATCATTAGAAGGAGGTAATAGAATTTACACAATTTAAGTTTCATCAATTCAATTAATTTAATTTATTGCTGGGAAACATTTTCGATAATAATTAAAAATCAGGAGATTCGATGATCTACCGAGAGACTGGGAGATGTGATGAAAAACTAGAAGAGATAGTAATCTATTTTGTGATGCATTTACGTGAGTTTAATTCTCTATTATTTTTTAAAGCTTGTAATTCTGATTGCACTGATGCTGGAATTTAAAGCAAAGCTTACAGAGAACCACGGATAAAGTTTTGATTCCTATCAAGCTTAGCAACAAACTTTTGTCATCGTCTTTGCAATATTTTAAAAATTTCTAGAAAACACATTTCTAAATCTTAGAATGTATTTATTTGTGTTCTGGTTGTGTTGTCCTCCTATTTGATATAGTATAAGTAAGATACTGACAACAGTTTTGATAGACAATACTTGGATTTACGTGTTACTCAGCTTATCACTATGTAATTTTACTTTTTTTTGCTGCATGAATAAACTCTGTAATTTGTAATTTCAACTTCTGTAGAAGAAAAATTATCTCTTTGTTTTCCATGAGCTATTTTTAGTTTATATATATAAAAGGCCTCAAAAGTTTCAGTTTTCCTTTTTATATGGCTATTTAAATAGATCTTGATGAACCTATAACACATGGCAGTATTATGAGAAAGAATAACAAAGAACAGCATTTACCTTCTATATTTTTGGTTTGTTCTAAAATGCTGAATTGTGCACTTTCCTGCTCTAAAAACTTTATACCCATTTCTTCACCTAGTTCTAAAGGCTTGGAATCCATTTCTTCAGGCTGCTCTAAAGGCTCACAATCCATTTCTTCAATCTGTTCAAAAAGCTTGAAATTCGTTTCTTGAGCATCTTCTGCGAGTTTAAGAAGTAGCAAATCTTTTGACAGTTGTTTGTCACAATCTCTCAACTGTTCTGGTTTACAAATAATGAGAAATTTTGACCTTTTCACTGCCTGAAGAAACCGCTGACGATTATCAGCAGGGTCACTCTCATGGCCTTTTACCAAACTCCATTCCTAATATTTAAAGGGAGGGGAAATCAATACAAAAATTTGTTTTAAAGAATGAATTTAGGAAGATGATTAAACTTACAATCTTAAAATTCTTTTAAAGTCCACATAAAAATACATTTATTGAATTATTTGAGAGGAAAAAACTTTCTTTATAGTATAATAAATTTGAACAGTAAAGGATTCATATAAGTTCAAGTTGTTCTTGATAGAATATGAATAATTTTAACTCCTAACAAGTAGCAAATTGGATGATTACTGGGTTGGCAAGCTGCTTCTTATAGAGGAAAAAAAAAACTGGCCAGAAGAAATGGAAGGTCCTTTTCTACATAACTAGCCTCATTTGTTTACTTGCAAAAGTGATTCATTATGTGCATTGCTCTAACAATGAAAATAAACTACTAGTTATGCAAAGCACAACACCATGAAAAATGCATCTAAACAGCATCAAACTTGCCTCGTGCATACCGCAATGGAATATGCAAATGATTATGATTTCAGTGTGTTCGCACATCATGGGTTACTGCAGTGCTAATTACAATCCAATCTTTATAAAGGGAGAAAAGAATGGCATAAATTCTCTCATAATTTTTTTGTGTATGCAGCTTCAGTGTACCTTGTAGAAAAACATGAGCATCATTCAAATATATTTCTGAAATCGACCAAGGCAGAATCATTGCATAACAGAGATTGTGGGTTATCCTTCCAGAAATTGGTCATCGTGTCAAATGTGATGCAAATTAGTGATGTGGCAACTGAAGCACTTGAATAATCTAACTTTGTAACCTGAAGAAATTATGTCTATCTATAGAATAAAAGAGAAAGTATTAGCATAAAAAATGAAGCAACTTAAACAACTTACAATGAAAGAAAAGTTTAATAAAGCAGATATTGAGCCTCCTTTTTTAATTTTTATTTCCTTAATATCACAAAAGCTTCATTATTTCATAAAACATAATTTTATATTTTAATTTTTATAATTTGAATATGCCATCTTACTAGATTTTTAAACTGATTATCCAATATCCACAAAAATCCAAAATCTGAAAATCCAAAGTCCCAACCAGTCTGGATCTTGGATTTTGTACTATTTGTCCACATAGATAACTAACAGAAAACCAAAATTTGAAACCTCCATGAAATTGGAATACAAGCTCTTAAGAAAGAATGAATTCTGAACATTCATTTGATGTTCCTGAATACCTTTTTATATAGACCCCTTCCCTTGCAAAAAAAAAAAAAAAAAAAAAAAAAACGGAAAGAACGAACACCATTCATGATGACCATTCTGATTTCATGGCTTCCACCAAAATCTCATTAGCATCAAAGATATGGCCGATGTGCATCACCCTATGTACTTGGCAGCAATAGGAAACTATGCCAACATTTGAACAAGCAAAGGTATTCTTTTTTTTTTTTTTTCTTTTTTTAGAAAAGGTAACTAGGAGGTGAACATTTATTAAATGAACTTTGTTTAATAACATGCCTCCAAGCTGTTATACAAATTTTCATATACTTGTTACAGCCTGTTGTACAGGGTGTCTATAATTAAAGAATTCTATTCCAAAACCATCTACAAGTAAAACCAGTGATCAGAAAATTGTGAAATTTTGTGATAGACTTAATGAAGGGATAAGAATATCTATCAGAGGAAAAAAAAAATTACAAATAGCATCAATGGCACTTTGAGCTGGGCAAGAAATTACGACTATGTGTAAAATTAAAGAGAAAATATTAACAAAAGAAATGAAATTGCTTAAACAATTTATATTCATAAAAATGTTTACAACATAAATGAATAAATATTGATTTTTTTTTAACCATACCCTTATCATAAATGGGGAAAAATACATTTCAGGGTACCCCTTAGCAAAAATTATCGATTTTTTTGCACCATTCCTATTTACATGCAATGGCCTCCCCAGTAAAATGGCATCCAAAACATAATGCAATAAAACATAATTAAAGCAAAAAATATATAATCTCAACAAACTGTATTTTAATTCAAACAAGGAAATAACATAAGAATGGAAATACATCTTACCTAATCTAAGAAGTACAAAAAAGTTACTTATTATATGAATATAAATTCTGAAATTTCTTTGGTGTATGGCAAACAGAATTCCTTAACACAGGGATGTCAAATTCATAGGTACACTTGGGCCAAACAAACAAGGTTTAACTTTAGGCGGGCCGAAAAAAAAATCAATATTCATAGAAACGTAGATTTATTTCGAATAATACAATAATAAACATATATATATATTTATATAGAAAAGAACAAAAAAAAAATTTAATGTTTACGTCCTGATACTTGACATCTCTTCTCTGCTATTATCTTTCCTATTTCGGGAGAAATTTTGTTTACAGTGATAACTTTCAACGCTGACCCAAGGTGAGCATCATTAATACGGTTTCTAATAGGAGACTTATTACCTTTCATGACTGAAAATAACTGCTACCAAACATGGAAATAATTTCATATGCGAATTTTCGAGTATTTTCAAACCTGGCTGGTAAATATTTGTAAAATTCAGGCACGCCACCTATATGGCCCAAAGACAATATCCAATTCCTAAAATCGAATTATTACTTCGATTTATTGAAAGAAAATTTCAAATTGCAGATAAAAGTTAACATTCATTTTTAATAAATTTCGTCGTAGGAAAACATTTATAACGACTCATTGAAAATTTCGAATTATCCAAGTTCACATTTGTGAGAAAAGTAAGTTCTTGAAATATTACTTTCAATATAACACCGCCCAGACGGTATAGTGGTTAGGGGAGCTTACTGCAGTACAAAAGGGCCCGGGCTCGAATCCCGAAGAAGGCATGGATGTAAATTGTCTATCCCTTCATAGGAAGTAACAGTGACCGCCTATTAGAATACCTCCATAATAAAATGACCATCATTTTCGGACTTAGTAGTGGCGAAAGTCTAAAAATGGCTAGTGCCCGCTGTTTTTATGCCGGCCCCAATTTTGTTCAATGAATTTTGCTTTCAAATTTGAGTTGCATTGAATCTCGATCACCTCCATTTGCATATGGCTGTGTATTGAGTCAATACTTTATTAAGGAAATCGAAGAAAACAAAAAAAAATTGTCTTCGAGGGAACTAAAATCATTAAACCTCGTTTGAAATTCTGTTAAATTTGCAATTTTTTCTGCGTATTTTTGATACGAACAAGTATCATCTAAACTTGATTTGTTCATGCTGCACGTCGGGAAGTGCGTCAAATCTTCATTTTTAAGTTGTTTTTTTTCCCAAAGAACTAGTTGACATTTGAATGCTTTAATTATGTCAAACATGTTCGTAGTGATATGATCTTTTCCTTGTAACCAATTTTTCCTTGTAACGATAAATTTAAATCGGTTAAGTGTTTGGTTATATCAACCGAGAAAGATAAATCTTGTATCCATATTGGATCGTAAAACAAACTTACGTCTTGATTTTTCGTTTTTAAAAACTGACATATTTCTTCTTTTCAAATCCCAGAATTGTTTGAGAATCTTGGAGCAAGATAACCAACGTACCTCGGTATAGTAGGACAAACCCGAATATTCACTATCTAACTCACTTAAGAAAGCAGTGAATTGACGCTGATTTAAACCTCGAGATCTTATAAAATTTATAACTTTTTTTATATATGACAAAACATTCTCCATATTTATTACTTTCGTGCATAGAACTTCTTGATGTATAATACAATGCATATGATGAATGTTTGAACCGTGAATTTCACTAAGTTTTTTTCTTAGTAATGCTACGAAGCCCTTGTTTTTCCCGGTCATTGATGGAGCGCCATCTGTAGCTACAGAATTTAATTTTGCCAAAGGTAGATTGTATTTCTGCAGAAGTCCAAAAACACAAGTAAATATATCTTCTCCTGTGGTAGTACCAGGCATCGGTATTAGTTCCAGTAATTCCTCAAAAATGTTAAAATTCTTGTCACAAGAACGAAGAAACACTGCTAATTGAGCTTTGCCACTAATGTCCGTGCTCTCGTCACAGGCAATGGAGAAACTTTCGAAACTAGATGATTTTGCTTTGATCTGATCACTTAAATTCGCGGCTAAATCAGTAACTCTTTCCGCAACTGTATTTCGAGACAATGAAATTGATTGAAAAGCCTTCACATTTCCAGGACAAACAATTTCTCCAGCTTTCATTAGGCATTCCTTGATGAAATCACCGTCAGTAAAAGGCTTCGAATGTTTAGCTATCAACTCGGACAAGACGTAGCTTGCATGTACCGCCGCTTCACTTTCTTGCAATACTTTACTAAACATGGACTGTTGCTTTTTCACTCCTAACTTGAGCTCTTTCAACTTTTCTTCTCTCATTAATCCTTCGTAATTGTTATATTTCGATTTGTGTTGTTCGTAATGACGTTTAATATTATATAACTTTGGTACATTAATAGTATTATTACATATCAAGCAGATTATTTTATCTTTTATTTCACAGCAAAAATATTCTAATTCCCATTTTACTTGGAATATTCTATGTTCGTCAGCGATTTTTCGTTTAATTTTACTACCACTTGGTTTTGATATAGACATACTGAATACAAAGGGCTGGAATAAACACGGTTAACGTTAAAAAGTTAACAAAAATTTATTCTTTCCACAAGAGATAAATCAAAATGCTGAAATATTTCTTCAAAAATATTCTAACAATATCACAAAATGTCAAACGTTTAGCAAAAATCAATTCAAAACAGAGAAACTAATTCTATCTCACAGCGAAATCGCTACAAATCAATCACAGCATACTGAGATGAGTTGTTTGTTCTCGGCTTTTATAAGCTTTATAATTAATTTCTCGAATATACTGGAAACATCTATAAATATCTGGATTTTTGTGGATGGCAACAGCAATTACGAGATATTTATTTATTAGGTATTAAATGCACGCGCTGTTCTATTTTTAACCTTCCAACGCAGCTGTCTTTTCAAAAATCGTCTGCGTTGCTAAGGCAACATGAAGCAAATCTAATCATAATTCTAAATAAAAAAAAAAAAAAAACTAAATAAATAACTATGAAATCCGTAACAATATGAATTAAGGTGATCTTTAATATGGAATGTTTGGCGACTTTTTGGAGGCGATAAAGGTTACTACCTGGGACTTTGGTAATAATGTGAGCAGTACTCTGTTCTGATTACGCGATCATGTGATATTAATGGACGAATTACGGTTCTTTAATCGGAAAAGGGGCGAATTTGGAAAAATATCTGTGCCTGTATATTATTTTGTATTATGCTTCATTGTGTGTTGTGTGAAGTAGGGTTATATAATTTTGGGATTCTATGGCGCTGTCTAAAGTGAATTCTAGATGTGATAAAGAGAATTTTGCTTTTTATTTAGCGGAGGAAGTGTGGAGGAAAAATTCGCAGAAAAAAATCGTTCAATAATTTTATTGAATCCATAATAAAAGTGTATCCACCATGTAAGCAAGATTCTGAAGAAGATTAGGTAAGTAAATATTTTTAATTATTTGAGGATATTATTTTTATGCATTGTTCTAAATGTAAGGTGGAAGTAAAGTAATTTGGTATTATTGGGAAAATTGTTATTAGCAATGATTTAGTTTAAAGTAATTAGGATTGTAAGCTAATTTTTATTAATTTAATCTATGTGCTTATTTATATTTTAAGTAGTGTTTTTGAATTTAATTATATTTTAATTAAATGATAGTTATTTTGTGAATTTTATGTTTGTAGGAATTTGGTATACGTTTTAGTTGAAGTAAACGTGCATGGAAATAATTTAAATATTTGACACTAAACGTGCATGGAAATAATTTAAATATTTGACACTAAGTATTTGTAATGTTTGCGGTATGAATTCGTTGGCAACGTTTATAATATAATAGATAATTTAGAGGTAAAAGTTTTTGGATATTTTATTTATTTTATACGTGGAAATGTTCATATTTGGAAAGGGTATATACTTTTTCGTTATTAGGTAATTTCATATATGTTCTTTTTAACGGGTTTAAAGATTCAGAAAATTGTCATGCATTTTCGTGAAATTTTTCTAATTTATGAGAAAAAAGCAGTGTACATGGATATGGTGAAGAGTGTGCGCAATGCCATTTTTGTGCAATTCTGGGTTTTTTTTTTAAGTAAAAATAAGTTGACGTGTACATGGTTTAGTGATATTTTAATTAAATGATAGTTATTTTGTTAATTTTATGTTTGTAGGAATTTGGTATACGTTTTAGTTGAAGTAAACGTGTATGGAAATAATTTAAATATTTGACACTAAGTATTTGTAACGCTTGCGTTATGAATTCGTTGGTGACATTTATAATATAATAGATGATTTAGAGGTAAAAGTTTTTGGATATTTTATTTATTTTATATGTGGAAATGTTCATATTTGGAAAGGGTATATACTTTTTCGCGATCAGGTAATTTCATATATGTTCTTTTTACCGGGTTTAAAGATTCAGAAAATGTCATGTATTTTCGTGAAATTTTTCTAATTTATGAGAAAAAAGCAGTGTACATGGATATAGTGAAGAGTGTGCGCAATGCCATTTTTGTGCAATTCTGGGATGTTTTTTTAAGTAAAAATAAGTCGACGTGTACATGGTTTATGTGTATGTGTTATTTTGAAAAACACGTAAGAAGTATGGTATTGTGCACTTTTTCCCAATTTTGCAGTGAATATTTGTCATGATTAAGCAGTTTTGTTAGATAAAATTTCTAGCATAAGTGTAATTCGGCTAGTAGATTGTTGGAAGAAGTGTTCAGTAGATAAAAAGAAAAGAAACACATCTTTACTTCGTGAAGACAAAATGGCGGCGGGGAAAAAAAATAGTGGGTTGCTGTAGGAGAGTTGGTCGCCAAATTTTCGCCAAAAAATCGCCAAGTTACCATAATCTAAAGATCAACCGAATTAAATAATAATTAATAATAAAGCAAAGTGCATGCACATGCATGCACCAATATATCGTACAAAACTATGATTGGAAAACTGAGACCATGAGTTCGGCCACATTCGGCTATTGGGGGATGCGTACAAGTTCTGAGTGCACGTGTCCTCTAAAGCCGAAGGTAGCTGAACGCAAGCTACTCACACGCATTTGTAATTTAAGTAGTTTGTGTGTCAGCTCGCTGCGAGTAATCTAACAACACTGAATAAATTATCGTTAATTACTTAGCGGTAAACATTTTATTTTTTTCTTCGTCGATATGTTATTTTATTATTATATATTATTATTTGCTGATATATTGGTCGGGCCGAAAAAATATTTGTTGTGGGCCGCATGCGGCCCGCGGGCCGAGTGTTTGACATCCTTGCGTTAACAGCATCACAAAACTGTCTAAAATTATCTGAACTAGAATCTGCATACTGTCGTCACCACATAAATAAGAATAAAAAACATCCTCCGTACTGCCTGACTGTCGAACTCGGTAAAGGCGGGAAACCCATTCCAAGCCATATAAATGATCGGCTAATCTTTGGAATATGGTAACGGGTAGTTTGGCGACATTTTGGTAAGGCGATAAAGGTTACCAGCTAGGACTTTAGCAGTGTACATGGATAAAGTCAAAAGTGTGCGCAATGCCATTTTTGTGCAATTCTGGGATGTTCTTTTAAGTGAAAATAGGTCGACGTGTACATGGATACCATGTATGTGCAATTCTTAAAAATGCGGCAAGCAGTTTGCGATTATGCACTTTCTCCCAATTTTGCACCTAATCTTTGTCATGATTAAGCACTTTTGTTCCATAAAAGTTCTAGCATAAGCGTAAATCGGCTAGCAGATTGTTGGAAAAAAATGTTGAGTAAAAAAAAAAAAAAAAAAAGGCCTTTACTGCGTGAAAACAAAATGGCGTCCAAACAAAAACTAGCAGGTTGCTCTGTAGCAGTGTCGGTCGCCAAATTTTCGCCAAAAAATCGTTAGAAAAAAGTTAGTTCACCAAAAAAGTTACCATAATCCAAAGATTAACCGAATGATCTTTACGTTCGACCATAAGTATTTTCTTCATACAAACAGGAAACGTAATGATTACTAAGTAAACCTTCATTTACACACCAGTCAATTAATGCTTTTTTTCCCCATTTGTATCAAATTGTACAGAAACTTCAGGGTAATCCTATCATAGGCAGTCATCTTACGGTGTAAAGCACAAAATAAGCAACATATTTCCTAAGCAACATCTAAAGCAGAAATAAGCCCTGAGAAATCAAAATCACCATAATCATGCATTACAACCAATCACATCATGATAGGGTTTCCAAACCATACACCGTAAAATCTTCAGGTTATCATAAATGAAGTAATAATTTCGCGATAATCCAAGGAGTACCCCAAAATATAGACTACTCCTTAAATGCATGATTATTTCATAAAAAGTATTCTATATTTTTAATTTAATTTTTATATGTCATCTTACTAGATTTAAACTGATAATCTAAAATCCAGAAATTTCTAATGACTAAGCCAGATTTTGGAATATGTACTGTAAAATTAAATAAAAAAGCACAGTTGAGCTATTGCAAATCAAAGTTACCTTTTTCAATTATTTATGTATATTCTGCAAGTAATTTCTTTTTTGTTGTGTGAAGAATGGATATATATACTGCTTAGACACAGTATCTTTACACTATCAAAAATAAAAATATTTCTTACTTCAAAAAGTGCATCTTCCTCTTCACAATAATTTTTGCTGCTTTTACGTGCAATTTGAATGGCCAATATTTTCTGAGATTCACTTATCCAAAAAAGCACATTAGGATATTTCGTATTATTTAATCTCTCCAATAAGAATTCAAGAAGAAAAGACCCTTTACGTGGCATCTATTAGATATGAGAAAAAAGTAATTATAGCAAATACATGTTATAAAACTCCTATTATTAAAAAACACATGCGCATAATTATTAAATAATGAAAATTTATACTAGAAATAGATCAAACATAGAAATAAATTTAAAATATTTATGTTAGAATATAAGGTATTTCTCCCACCTTCTTGGCATGCTTTCGTGGTGTAGTGGTTCTGCACACTGGGCCGGTATTCCAGAGGTCCGTGGTTCGATTCCCGGCAAAGGCGGTTGCTAATTTTTCATCTCTCCGGCTTTCCCAATTAACCTAATGTCTCTACAGTGGCACCCGAACTAAAAGGGTTGTGGATGATGATTTATCCCCACCCAGGATTTGGAGATTGGGTCTCCTAAAAACTTCAGTCGCCCTTTAAAAAGGAGACTATATAAGGTATTTCTCCCACCTTCTTGGCGTGCCTTGGTGGTGTAGTGGTTCTGCACACTGGGCTGGTATTCCAGAGGTCTGTGGCTCGATCCCCAGCAAAGGCGGTTGCTAACTTTTCATCTCTCCGGCTTTTCCAATTAACCTAATGTCTCTACAGTGGTACCTGAACTAAAAGGGTTGTGGATGATGATTTATCCCCACCCAGGATTTGGAGATTGGGTCTCCTAAAAACTTCAGGCGCCCTTTAAAAAGGAGACTATATAAGGTATTTCTCCCACCTTCTTGGCGTGCCTTGGTGGTGTAGTGGTTCTGCACACTGGGCTGGTATCCCAGAGGTCTGTGGTTCGATCCCCGGCAAAGGCGGTTGCTAATTTTTCATCTCTCCGGCTTTTCCAATTAACCTAATGTCTCTACAAGAATATATAATTAATGTTCCAAATTTATAAATAATTATAAATTCAAATAAGGATTCATACATTTTTTCCACTTTTTTAATATGTCTATTACACACAGATCATAAAATTTATTAAACAGTGATAAACTAAAAAATTACTGACTGTGATTCGAGATCATCTTTTCCTCTCGTATTAACTGCTCAAGATCTTGTTCATTATTTGCATACAAGTATACCGAAATGTACGTATAATGAAAATTTTTATTTTTATCCCATTTCTATTCATTTTTAGTAATACAATTTTACAGCATCCCATTTATAGAAGTGTTCAAAATTTATTTATCATATTATTTGAAATGTAGAAAATAAACTGCTGTGATATTAATGCATTTTAAAGCTGTTAAAAATGTGTCTTCAAATGTTGAAATACCTTCTTAAACTGCTCAGATTACCTAATAACAGTGCATCAGAAATGAAAGGGCTTTTGGAACTGGCATGCTCAAGGCAGCTTCAACGCGATTATATTGTCCAAACCCCTGGAGGCCCTTGAATGTTTCACGTAGCACATTATAAGTACACAAGCGCAGGTGGATGGCAACACATCCACCAGAAAAAAAACTAACATAACATTAGTGGTGCTTCCTTCTCGTGAAAAGAAGGAAAAGAGCTTAGGCAATGTTGCCCATTGCTCTTCCACCATTTGATCATTTAAGTCAAAGATTTTAAATGGTAATTCCCGTGAAAGGTAAATAATAAATAAGTAGATAAAAATCCCAAACTGACACCAAATATACTATAGTATCAGCAAAAAGATCCCATCTCTAAATTCAGGGTGTTGATTAAATCATTAAAACTTCCCAATTGGATGAAGAGCCGATTCAATCCCTCCCAAACCACCAAACGCGAACTCTTGAACAAACAAGAAAAAAAAAAAAAAAAAAAAAAGAACTAAGTCACACAGTTAGACATCAACCATCCCTCAGTGTTCACCAAGGAAAGCCCATCCCCCGATTGATAAGACCGAAATTAAAATAAAATCTGATGAATTTTCACTAATAGTAAGTACCATTGGTTAGATATGCCAAACAATGGCTAATGTGGTTAAAGCTATGAAACATTGGTGATTTGCCTTGGATTGTTCCCAGACTGGTTGCATAGGATTTTCCTTGGTACTCTTCTGTTATCAGGACCAAATTCAGAAATGTATGCATGTATGTATTAATGATTTGCATACATGTGTATATACACACACATTTGTACGTACATATGGTTAGAGTAGATTTACGGATGCTCCTTGGATTATCACTAAGTTGTTGTTTCATTTATAGTAGCCTGAGTAGTTGAATGCAATAGAAACCCTATTATGAAGTAATTTGTTGCTTGATTGCGGTGAATTTAAATGATGGGAAAAGTTTTGGAAAGGCTTGTTTGTGTGTCGGATTTTGGATAAGAAGTATGTTGTTATTTTGTGGTTTACACAGCAAAAGGGCTGAACAGGGTAAGATTAATTTGAAATTTCTGTATGACTTGGAATGAAAGGAAAAAAAGCATTAATCAACTGGTGTGTAAATGAAGTTTTACTAAGTAGCCATTACAATTATTATTATTTGTGAATTTATGTAGTGATGCCAGCAAACAGATTCTAGTAATTCTAGATTCTAGTTCAGGTAATTTTAGGAAGTTTTTGGACGCTGTTAAGGAATTTTGTTTGACTGAAGACATGGAAATTTGTAAATAAGTGGATATTTCTTTTGTGCAGTGCTAAGATGAATTTCCTTTTTTTATGTTATTTCATCATTTGATTTAAAATGTAGTTTATTGAGATTATATACTTTTTGTTGCTGTTCCTTTGACTTTTTAAGTGAATATAGTTCGATGTGTACATGGATAATACAATTCTTTGACTTGCTATTTTGGATTTGTGTAGGGGCAATTTTTAGAACAAGATACACCACTACACAAAGCAAAAATAACAAGTCAAAGAATTGCACGAACTCGGTGTCCATGTACCACCAAAAATTGCTAAGGGATACCTGTAAATACACCGTGTTTCAAAAAGAATATACGTATTGCAAAGTGTTATTTTGTCCAAACTATCGATCACTGCGCCTCGGCCGGCTATTGGCGAAACGAATACAGTTTAGTTTATATTAATAGCCACTAGATGTCAGTTGCCTTCTGTTTTGCGTGGTAACAGTCACACGTTTAAAATGGCTACTTCGAAACAGAAATCATTTTGTGTTCTCGAGCTTGCGAAGTGCAATTCTGTGAGTACAGTGCAAAGACATTTCGAGTTGAGATACCAAAGTGATCCTCCGAATGGGTGGAACATTCACAGATGGTATCAACAGTTTGTAAATACAGGATGTGTTATGTAAAGGAAAGAGTCCTGGCAGCCCTAGTGTTCCCGATGAAAATGTTGCACGAATTCAAACTGCTTTCCAACGTAGTTCTTCAAAATCAACTTGACGTGCCAGTCGGGAGTTACAGATGCTTACAACAACAATTTGGCGTTTTGAGACGTCGGTTGGTTATGAAGTCGTACAAGTTACATTTGTTACAGGCTCTGCGTCCTGATGACAAACGCAAACATGTGGCATTTTGAAACGAGATTATTTATGCTATTGACAATGATAACACTTTTGTACAATGCATCGTGTTCAGTGATGAAGTGACTTTTCATGTTAGTGGTCATGTTAATAAACACAATGTTCAAATTTTGGGCCTAAGGAGCCCATATGCAGCCATTGAACATGAACGAGATTCGCCCAAAATAAATGTGTTTTGTGCGATATCCCGATCATCTGTTTACAGTCTACCTTGCTATGTTACAAAACTGGTTATTTCCGATGCTCCGAAGACAAGTTAATTTTTCAACAAGACGGGCACCCCTTCACTGGTGTTGCCAAGTGCGTGATTATCTGAATGAAACTCTACCGAACCGTTGGATTGGTCAACAAGGCACTGGCGACTTAGCATGTCTCAGCTGGCCTGTGCGGTTACCGGATTTGGCACCCCGTGACTTCTTCCTGTGGGGTTTCTTTAAAGACAACATTTATGTACCACCACTCCCACAGAACCTGAAAGAGGTGAAGAACCGGATCCGTACTGTCATAACATAAGTGACGACGGACATGCTTGCCCAAATATGGGAGGAATTTGAGTATCGATGTGATATTGTTCGTGTTGCTGATGGAGGACATATTGAACATCTGTAATCTGAACTCGAGAATTTCGTACATATGTGTGTAAAGTTTCATATTCATATGTCATGCAGTTTAACCATCTGGCTGCTCATCTCGCGATTTCCACAGGCAACTCATATGTAGCAAAATCTGCTCATCTCGCGGGCATGCGTTTTCCTTCTTTTATTGAAGAGCACATCCCGTTTTTCACCTGATTAACCACCAAAATAAATTATATACAATATTAGATGTTTAGTTTACGTTTTGGCCAACAGATATCGTTAGTTGTCCACTAAATTGTGGCATTTGAAGGCACATGATATTACCTGTTCAAACGCCCCTTTCTTCTTACAGAAATGGCTGCTAGAAAACATTCAGCGATTATCTTGATATTTATTAATTATTGATTTTAATTAGATTTAATTGATATATTAATAATTAGATTGATTATTAATTAGATTTATTGAAGCTGGTGCAAAGACTGTGAATTTGGACTTTGCCTTGAATCCTGTTCTGAACTCTATCATACTAACTGCTTTCTAAGGTATCTTTTTATCAGTGCTTTACATTTTCTTAATTTTATATATTTTTTACTTTTTATTATGCAATAAATAGAAATTAACCATAATTTGACTGAAATTTATTTAAAAAAAAAATTTTTTTTTTTGGTGATGACATCTGAAATTGGTTTTTCTGGCAACTTAGTTTCTCATGAAAAATCTATATAAAAAAATATTTTCTAGAAAGGAAAACTGCATTTTCCAATTCTCCGATATATATATATAGATTTAAAATATGCAAAAAATAAATTTCACAATTTTTGAAGTGATTTCGGTCCACAAATTGAGCAGTCAGAGGATTAATAAATATATGCATTCGAAATACATATATTCTTTTTGAAATGTGCTGCATATTTTTACAGTACATATATACATGAATAATATATGTACTGTAAAAATATGCAGCGCAATTTTAATACACACATTTTTTAATCTGGTCCTGATAACAGAACAGTACCTATTCCTCAATATTAACACAAATAGTGATTAGATTTTTATAGAAATCTATACATGGTGATACTCACCCTCATTGGCAGACTGGCCTGATGCCATTTAAAATAATTTTATCAATCAATCACATGATTTTCTACGAAACGCAATACAAGTTAAAAAATCCGAAACTTTTGAATGGGTTTATATTATTTTCTGCTTAATTTAAAATGATGCCTAATACATACACTACAAAGTTTGAAATCTGGATTTGTCAAGGGTAAAAATATATTTCAGGATGACCCTTGGCAAAAATTGGCCGCTATACAAAACCATATAGCGACCAGTACAGCGGCAAAAATGGCCGCTATACAAAACCAAAATAACAAGTCGAAGAATTGCACAAGCTCGATGTCCATGTACACTTCGATCTATATTCACTTACACACTTAGGACTATTTTCTGCACGTGCTTAAGGCTTATCTCAGTTCCAAATAAAGAAATTCCTACATATATGTAAGGCTTATCCAGGGCCAGAGCTGATAGTTTGCAGTGTCGATTCAAAACTCTGCTGCCAAGTGTCTGCCTAAATTCTGAAAATTTTGCCCCCATAAATTTTACATCCCAGTGCCTTACCTAAATTCTAAAAATTTTGCTAGTGTGGCCACATCACTCCATTATATATATATATATATATATATATATAATTATTTTCAATATGGAATCCTACAGCCATTTAAGCTTTCAAATAGCACTGAAATAGTCTGCAGCTCATTCTGAAAACATTATAATATAAACATGCAGATCTGCGAGCAGTATTTAAGATCACAAATCCTCTATTTGCCTTTTCTAAAAACAAGTATAAAATAGCAATTTTAACCAATTTCCTACAATAACATAAATTTGATTCAAGACTTCAAATTGTACACAAGTTTGATTAAAAATGAAAAATAAGACTGGAATATCGACATGCCACTCAATTTTTTGGAAGTTTACAATGCAAACTGGACACATCTACTACAACATCAGCATCTCTTTATATATTTATCATGTAATAGTTGGTTGTAATAAGAAAAGTGTTGAAGCATTTTTGAAATCCAAGATGGAGGCTAAAATTTCGCCAAGTTTCGTTTACGGAAAATTTGCTGTTACGATATTTGCATATGATAAAACTGTATTTTGCGATAAATTTTAACATTCGGCTAATAATCTCCTTTACAAAGCTTTCAGCCAGAACTTACAAATGACAAACATTTTTCATAATAAGGTTTACTTAATCCTTTTGATGCTACAATTTATTATTCCGTTCTTTATAGGAGATAATTATAACAAAAATACTCACAAATTATTTCAGATTAAGGAATATAACTATAACGGAAGTAATACGACTGTACTGCATCTTCGTGAAAATAGTACAAGTAAATGCTGATGTTTCAAATCATTTTTCACATCTTTAAGACATTTTATTTGAACAATTTAGAGCAAAAACATAACAATTTTCTGTAAATAAGATTTCTATTGACAATATTCAGAACTTACCGTTAAATCGCGAAACACAACAGCAACTGCTTATTACTCCACGAGATAAAGACGGGGAATAACCGAATCTTTTAAAACAAGTGCAAAGCAAAACCAAAAAACTCAAAATGAAAGTAGTAGTCTCTGCCTTCCAGATTTCTGATTAGTTTCAGTTACAAAGTAAAAGAATGGAAATTTCTAACAGCTGACAACCTTTAGACTTCAGAAAGAAAATAAATAAAAATTTGAATTTTACCTATATTATTATTTATTTATGTCTTTAAATATTTGCATCTTTTTGTTTGTAAAAATGTTTCAAAATTTAGTTAAACTAAATTTTCTAGCTAGCCAACTAGCGAGTTAGCCACGAATACTCAATTCTCCGCCCAATCTAGGCCGGCGTCCCTCAGAGAAGTTTACTTTCGTCTCAGATGTTAAACACATATGTAAATGATATTCCTAAATCACCTAATGTCGATTTAGCTTTATATGCGGAGACACAACCATGATCTCTCAGCGTTCCAACACCACCGCGGTAATCTCTGAGCTGCAGAACTACGTATCTTTGAAGCCTAGAGCTCGGGCTCGGACTGTGGAAGATCAATATTAATGGCGCAAAATGTTCTGCCACTTTATTTGTTCAAAGAACTCACCTCAATTTACTTAACATGCAATTCTTCGGAGAACCAATTCCCTGCGTTTTTACTTATAAATATCAAGAAATGATACTTGATTCAAAATTAACTTGGCAACCTCACATTCAAAAAAACAGTTTCCAGTGCGAAGGTTATCAAATCCCAATTACTGCCTTTTTTTCGTTAGAAAAAGCGACCTGTACACGTAAAACAAGATCTTACTCTATAACTAAGGCCTATTCTGAGTTATGCAAGTCCCATATGGGGCGCAGCAGCAATTAGTAACAGGAAACATATCCAAATTTTCCAAAATATTATGCTTCGGTAAATTTACAAAGCTCCTTGGTTTGTTACGAACGAGGATATTCACAATGCAGTTCAAAATTCTTATACAGCTTTATACATCGACTTTAGGTAACTTTCTCAAAAAGATTCCTTCGATCGGTAACCCCGTTTTCCATCCATTGCCTATTTATCATCCAGGAATTGAGTTATCTAGAAATCGACCCAGAGCCACTCTGGAAAGCGCATATAATGCGTTACCATAAGGGTTTTTTTGCCCAGATATTTTATTTAAACTCAATCTCTTTAGAGAATTTATTACTATTATATTACAACACTTAAAGCTGTTAATGTATTTATCTCATATTTCTCCTCAGAGGCAGTTCTGGCCTTGTCTCTTTAAATCTAACTCGCCTAACGAGTTTCCCGCTCCCTTCCCTCCTCAGACCCGAATCACTTGCGACGTGAATGGCCTTTGGCGAGTAGTTCCTTTCTCGTGTTGTTAACAGCACAAGATCATTGATCAAGGAAATATCGAATCTTTCAAAATTCATGATGTAACACTTCAAAATTCATTCTGGCCCTTTATTCGATCTCAAAATTATTAAATTAAGTTCTTCAGTGTTTTTACCTTTTTTCACCATGGAAGGCAGTTTACCTTTTGTTATTTTGACAATTCGACACTCAATTTTACCTCTTTGCCGAATCCTCTTTCGTCAGATGGCACTGGAATTCCACAGTTCAGATGTAACGTGTGTGACGAGAAGTTGGATCATGGGTCTTTTTTTTTATCCTCCAGAGAAATAAAACGAGACGTGTGAGTTGGTTGAGGACCAAGAGTTTGGCCGGGCTCACTGAAACTCTCTCTGAGGCCTCAGAAGAAAGACATCAGGTCAGAGTTAAGACAATGGATCAGATCCATGATGATATAGAAGCTGGCTGAAAAGAGAGATCTTAATAGAATTTCTTTGAAGAAGTCTGATAACCAATCTGCCGTGAAAGCGCCAGATAGACCCGTTTCAACTTTCTGAAAAACGATAGAAGAGTTTTAAGCTCAATGGGTAAGACATAGAAATAGACGTACTGAGGTGTGTCTTTTCAAAAAGGGAGAAAGTTAAAATGCTGAGGTTTATTATTGTATTTATTATTATATATTAACTATTAATCATAGAGTTTTGTTCTATGGCTGAAAAAGATTTTCTCCTCCGAACCATTACCCACCTAGGCCAAATCAACGAGCTCTGACCTCCTTTGAAACCTTTACTGGAAAATCAAGAATGAAATTCTATCTTGCCAACCCAAATGGTCTTAAGGAATTTTCCTTATTATGTTCATGATACATCAACACATTAACACGCAAACACACACACGCAGATGATCCGTGTTCAACCAACTGTTTCCAGAAATACCTCAATGGAGTTTCTTTGAAGAATCCACTCTAAAGTACCAGAAGGGAGAGTTTTGTAAAGGAAACTGGGGTCAGCACATGGGGGCCTACACGCAAAGAGAGAAATGATCCATGAGCATCCAACTCTTTACCGAAAGACTTTAATGGGAGATGTTTGATAACCCACTGAAAGGAAAGAAAGACAAAGCACCAGAGTACAGCTCCCGACTCTGCTCGGTCGTTCTGGGAACTCCACATTACAACTCGCGATGCACTCGACGATACACTAGAGTACAGCTCCCGACTCCTCGGTTCAGTCGTTCTCGGAGCTCAACACACTCTAAGATCAAACTGGATATGCACTAACTCGCGATAAACTAAAAGACTCTCAATGAACTTGCCGACCAACTCGGCACTAGACTTCGAGACACTCGCTCACTGACTGACTATCAGCTCGCTAGACGAGACACTAACTGACTCTCCGCGTACCAGCAGGGTTTGTATAGCTTTTGGCTTGTGTTCGAGAACATTCTGGGTTAAGCCAGTAAGATTTCGTTCCAGAAGGTTCTCCATCCGTCTATGGCAGATAGCCAATTTTGTCACCAAATGGATGATTTCTCGTAAAATGTGGCAACCCTGCCTTTCTTTGCCATTTTTGGGCAACCCTAAACCTGTCTTGCGGGGAAGCTATCATACCACGGCTGGACATTTTGTAACACTGTTTTTCCAGGAGGATTAGCGCCATTGGTTCAAACTTTAGATATGTATATCGATAAAAGGTTCAAAGAAAACTTTAAATAACAGTGAAATATGTAGGCAAGAGAAGGTGAAAAACGTATACAAAAAGAGGCAAATGCGTCAGGACAGTTGAAAATAGTGTGTGAGTGGATAATGGAATCATGGAATGAAATTAAACACGACGTAATTCAAAAGTCATTTAAAAATGCAGCATTTTTAATAATATAGATAGAACGGAAGATGATTATTTACTTATGGATCACCGTAATAGTGATGGTAAAGATGACACAATGATGTGCCTGAAAATATAATGGAAGACGAATATGACGAAGTTTTCATTTTGTCTGGTAATGAAAAGTTTTAAGTTCATAAACTATGTCATTTCTTTTAAATGAACAGCACTTGGGTACACGCAGAAATCCAATTTTTGTATGCTCATCTTTTCCTTATTTTTAAATTTATCATTTTTGTATTCGGCGTATAAATCGTATCCGTAAATTTCGATCTTATTTTTTGTATTAAAATGCGCGTTATATGCCGTAATATACGGTACCTACTTTCTGTTTGACAGGGTTTTCATAAACTATTTTTTTAAAATCAAACTGCGTATTTTTCTGTTTCAGAGAAAACAGTTATATCAAGGCCAAATTCAGGTCCACGTTGGACAAATATTTGAATGTTATTATTTGTTACGCACTATGTTGTGGCATCATTCAAATCTGTCAATTTTGATGTATTATACATAGATTATATTTTAATATCCCCTCATATTATTATCATTTCATTGCATTTCGCTTTCGTGGCATTGGGATTTATTTTTTGTCTTCAGTATCATTTTTAATTTCATACTACTTGTAACAGGCAGATTTAATTCAGTTGCTGATTATAATGTTGGTTGTGATGACAACATGGCAATAAGTGTTACCCTTTCTTCATATTTTCATTTCTCTTATTTTTTCAACCTATTTTTTCTCTTATTTTTTTTTTCTAAGCGGAAAGTTTTTCCGGTGTCATATTTCCCTACCCACCCCCAAAGTTAAATATAATAATGCAACTGCGTAATGATTTATTCTCATTTAGTTGTACTCTGCTTTATATCGCGACATAGGTGTCGCCATCTAGGGTTTAATTTCATAACTACTGCTAGACTCTGAAAAATATATGTCGCCATCTGGAAGAAAGTTCTGTCACAAAAGTTTTGCCAATATGTTATCTATTAAATTAACTCAGTTATTTTGTATCTCATCCAGCTTAATATTTATCTTAATTTAATTCAATAGAAGTAACTCTTATTACCTTCCATGATCTTTTTTTACTTCAAAATAGACTCACACCATTCAGTAATATTGTTCATTATGTTATTCCTTTTAACCCCTCCCCCCGACCAATGCCTGTCTTGCAAGTGGATGCACCTCCTTTTCAGATTCACCATTGGCCAAAACGACCAGTAGCTCCGCCCTCTTCACTCAAGTATCTCCAGAGACAACGCCTTCAACTCAGACGAGCTCTCGCCATTCTGACGCTAGCAGGCAGCAACAGATATGTCTTACTGCATGCCTAGGGTATCAATAACACTTGCATTTCCACGCCGGATATCTATAGAAGAACTATCTCAACGCCTGCTGATTCTGAAGACTCTAAAATTGCACTTTCACGAGATTTTTTTATCTCAATTACTAACTTTGTCACGTTAGGTTAGAAAAGATATGCGCTTTTCGTTCACGTTAGGTTAGAAAAGATATGCCTTTTTCGTATTTGTTCTACCTAGGATGTGGTTTTATAACCCGGGTGCCTGCTGACAAGTGTTTCAAACACCTGAGTCTTTTTAATATAAGATGTCCTTTTTTTGCGCTAATGTAAAAAATGGACGAATAGTATCGCATACGTCGAAGATTACTGTACTAGTGTCAAGCCCGTCAGGTAAGCGAGCTACGGCAAAGCAAAATTTATAAGTTGTATTCCATAAAAATTTATTCTACCTCTGTTTAGAATGGACGGATGACAATTTTAAAATTCCATCTCGTACATGCTTCGACGCAGCACGCCGAACAGCAATGAAGGTAAAAAAAAAAAAAAGGCAACGTGCAGGGT